ATTAAGTTAAATGGTGGATCTCAGAACTGGTAAAGGAAAAAATGAAAACATTGTCAGTTGCTACTATTAAGAGCAAAATTCACTTTATGATAATTTGTGTATTTATATCTAGCAAGGCCTTTTTTGCTCATCAAATGTGAGGATTTTATGCAGGCAAATTAAAAACAAACAAAGAGGTTTTTTCAGTTCTTATAAGAATAGTGTTCTTCACCCCTCACTGACCAGGTTAAAAATCTCCGTCTTATGGTTGGTTGTTACCCTGGACCTGGAACCTTTAGCAATATGATCCGTTCTGGTCAGTTCAATTAAAAAAAACCCACGCTGCTTAAAAACAACCCTTTAACTACAAGATTGCTCTGTAGACAGAGTTTATAAAGACACCTGCATAGGTATCCAAACATCTTTAAAAAAATGGAGCTGAAGTCTTGTTGCCTTCCAATTTAAACCTGTTGTGGAAATAAATTGATGTTTAAATCTGAGCTGGTCCAACAACATGCTACATTTTTTTGCAGAAGGCTTTAGGTATCACCTGGGAAAAGGCTCACAGACATTTACAGTGCTATAGCTGGCCTGTTTATGGAAAGACTAATTTTAAATGTCCGTATCCCAAAGCTGGACTGATTTATGAAAGTCTATAATTTATCATTTTCAGTTTAGTCTAGTTTGCTGAGTGCGACTAACTGCATGTGCTCTCTTTCATCCTCTGACATGGGAGCTGGCTCCGAGCTTGTCTGTGTGGTTCCTGGACCAGGCCGCCTCTTACAGCTGCTTTTTTTTATCTCTGCTTCTGTCTCCTTGAACTCCAGTCGGCCTCAGCAGATGGCCGCTCCCACTGAGGGTTTCTTCCTGTTAAAAGGGAGCTTTTCCTCTCCACTGTCGCTACAAGCATGCTTAGTGTGAGGGATTGTATTTGAGTCAATGAGTCAATGCAATCAGCTGGTTTTCCTTTGATAGAAAACCTGAATCAATCTGACTGGATGATCTGGTTGAATTGTCTCTCTAAAATACCTTGAGATGACATGTGTTGTGAATTGGCGTTATATAAATATATTTAATTGAAATTTAACTGAAAACATAGCACCACCAGATGCAACTGCCATTGAGACCTTTAACAGAAAACCTGGATTTGCAGATCTGAATCTAGAATTTCCTGTTTCCATTGTCTAAGTATTTCACATCTTCCCTTTGGTCTTTGTGATGCATTTGGCCTTTAATGGATTGTAGTTTTGGATTTCATTGCTTACTATGGCTGATTCTGGTGTAGGGTTCTGCGTGTTAAGACAGTGTATCTTTCTACATTAAGATGGATTCCTGCAAAGTCATTGACAAAATGAAGCAACTGTCCACTGTTGCTACATACTCATCCAAGAAGAATACTGTGTCAGTAAGCTGTTGTAATCTACAAGGTTTCAGTCAATAGAAAACTTTAACCAACATGAATGATAATCTGTTATCAGATTATGAATCTGTATGTTTTATTTTAATGGGCAGTTTTGTAGCGTGATAGCCTTGAGAGAGGACAGCTCTTACGAATTTGAGCTATATAGATAAACTAAAGTGAATTGTTTGTGATAAAATCAGCCACAGCATAAAATGCTACTCATATGTTTTATAGCTCATGTCAGATTGACCCAGCAGGATAATCTATTCTTTGCATCCAGAGTGCTGTAGTCTTTACATTACCCTCCTTCTTCGGTCCAGAATTGATCCACTGGTTGCAGGACTGACAATGTTTTCTTCCAGTAAACAATGGTTATGGGGTTTCTAACACCTCTTAAGATTGATATGGGTATTGGTTGGGACCTTAACTCCACAGACATCATCTGAGGAGGACAAAAACACCTGTGACCCCCGTTCCCACCCAGGGGGTTCCTGTTGACACTGTGGAGGAGTATAAGTACCTGGGAGTGTACTTTAACAATACAGGTGCTGGTCATAAAATTAGAATATCATGAAAAAGTAGATTGATTTCAGTAATTCCATTTAAAAAGTGAAACTTGTATATTATATTCATACATTACATACAAACTCATATATTTCAGATGTTTATTTTGTTTAATTTTGATGATTACAAATGACAACAAATGAAAATCTCAAATTCATCATATCAGAAAATTAGAATATTGTGAAAAGGTTCAAAATTGATGGCCCCTGGTGCCACACTCTAATCAGCTAATTAACTCAAACCACCTGCAAAAGCCTTTAAATGGTCTTTCAGTCTAGTTCTATAGGCTACACAATCATGGGGAAGACTGCTGACTTGACAGTTGTCCAAAAGACGACCATCGACACCTTGCACAAGGAGGGCAAGACACAAAAGGTCATCGCTAAAGAGGCTGGCTGTTCACAGAGCTCAGTGTCCAAGCACATTAATAGAGAGGCGAAGGGAAGGAAAAGATGTGGTCGAAAAAAGTGTACAAGCAAGAGAGATAACCGCACCCTGGAGAGGATTGTGAAACAAAACCCATTCAAAAATGTGGGGGAGATTCACAAAGAGTGGACTGCAGCTGGAGTGAGTGCTTCAAGAACCACCACACACAGACGTATGAAAGACATGGGTTTCTGCTGTCGCATTCCTTGTGTCAAGCCACTCTTGAACCACAGACAGCGTCAGAAGCGTCTTGCCTGGGCTAAAGAGAAACAGGACTGGACTGCTGGTGAGTGGTCCAAAGTCATGTTCTCTGATGAAAGTAAATTTTGCATTTCCTTTGGAAATCAAGGTCCCAGAGTCTGGAGGAAAAGAAGAGAGGCACTTCATCCACGTTGCTTGAAGTCCAGTGTAAAGTTTCCACAGTCAGTGATGGTTTGGGGTGCCATGTCATCTGCTGGTGTTGGTCCATTGTGTTTTCTGAGGTCCAGGGTCAACGCAGCCACATACCAGGAAGTTTTAGAGCACTTCATGCTTCCTGCAGCTGACCAACTTTTTGGAGATGCAGATTTCATTTTCCAACAGGACTTGGCACCTGCACACAGTGCCAAAGCTACCAGTACCTGGTTGAAGGACCATGGTATCCCTGTTCTTAATTGGCCAGCAAACTCTCCTGACCTTAACCCCATAGAAAATCTATGGGGTATTGTGAAGAAGAAGATGCAATACACCAGACCCAACAATTCAGAAGAGCTAAAAGCCACTATTAGAGCAACCTGGGCTATCATAACACCTGAGCAGTGCCACAGACTGATCGACTCCATGCCACGCCGCATTGCTGCAGTAATACAGGCCAAAGGAGGCCCAACTAAATACTGAGTGCTGTACATGCTCATACTTTTCATGTTCATACTTTTCAGTTGGCCAACATTTCTATAAATCCTTTGTTTTTATTGGTCTTCAGTAATATTCTAATTTTCTGATATGATGAATTTGAGATTTTCATTTGTTGTCATTTGTAATCATCAAAATTAAACAAAATAAACATCTGAAATATATGAGTTTGTATGTAATGTATGAATATAATATACAAGTTTCACTTTTTAAATGGAATTACTGAAATCAATCTACTTTTTCATGATATTCTAATTTTATGACCAGCACCTGTAAGTTGGACTGGACTAGAAACACTGAGGCAGTCTAAAAAAAAAGGCCAAAGCCGACTATTCTTCCTGAGGAGGCTGAAGTCCTTTAACATGTGTGGGACCATGCTGAGGATGTTTTATGAGTCAGTTGTTGCTAGCACGCTCTTCTTTGCTGCCACATGCTGGGGCAGTGGGCTGAGGGTCGCTGACAACAACAGACTGAACAAACTGATCAAGAGGGCTGGTGATGTTGTGGGGGAGCAGCTGGACACACTGACCACGGTGGCAGAGAGGAGGATGCTGTCCAGGTTTCAGTCCATCTTAGACAATGACTCACATCCTCTCCATGACACACTGGTCCAGCAGACGAGCTCCTTCAGCAGAAGACTCCTCTTACCCAGATGCACCACAGAGCGCCACAGGAAATCATTCCTACCTGTGGTCATCAATCTCTATAACGGCTCCCTCAAGTGGTTCAGACACCCCTCCATCTGTAATTGACATTTAAGCACTATTTTTGCACATCACTATCACTTTACTTGGATTTAGTTATACATATGCTTATATATATATATATATATATATATATATATATATATATATATATATATATATTAGGGTTGTCACGATACTAAACTTTTCAACTCGATACAGATACTATGTAAAATATTCTATACTCGATGTCGATACCACAAGGATAAAAACAAAGACTCCAAAATTCAACAGAAATTTTTTCATTAATAAACAAAATACAATAAATAAATAAATAAATACAATAAACAATATTTTGAGGTTGTATGCTGTGCACAATATTAAGCAAGCTTGATAAAAAACGTACAAAATTAAAATTAAGTTTTCCGTCCTTGGCTATGCTTTACACACATAACAATGACACTAGCCAAACCAGTTAAAAAACAAAAACTACTCTCAGCAGCTGCACCTGTTACAGAAAAAAGTCTGAAACCGAAAAGTGCACAGAATTATTCAGTCACACAGTGATTTTATATATATATATATATATATATATATATATATATATATACACACACACACACACGCATTAAACTAACTGGAGCATGTAACAAAAGTAATTTCTCTCTGGGATTATTAAAGTATTTCTGATTCTGAAGCTTTCTAATGATCATTGGAATAAGGATGTTTTAATAAACAGAGTAAAGAAAAAAAAAATCATCTGAATCAGGCTAAATTTGATCATTTTTGTCCACAGTTAACAGAATGCATTTTATGTGGTATTTGTACAGGAAAAATGTATTTCAAGCCATGAGTAAATCTAAAAAATGAATCAATGAATCTAGTGCAAGATGACAGAATGTTAAAGACTCCTGGATAGGCAGTGAAACATTTTCTGAAAATCTGGGCAAGTCCAGTTGCCTCTGATTAAAGTCTGTTTTGTCGCTGACATGAATTTTGCACGTGTACATTTTCATGCTATTTCCTTAACCATCTTTTTCGTTTTTCTCTTTAAGGAAACTGAAATTGCTGCTGACTGCAGTCATGTAAGTGTGCCTGCTTAAACACACCCATTTCCCACAGTCTTGATCTAGGTGTGTATCCCTAACTAGTCTGTGTAACTGGCATGTATTGTGTGTGCTTTCTTTTCCAGCTCCTGTGGAACTATAAGTTGAACCTCACCACTGATCCGAAGTTTGAGTCTGTAGCTGTGGAGGTCTGCAAAACGACAATCTCTGAGGTCAGCTGGTATTGCCAAGCCTTTGAGCCCAACATACACAATTGTACCTCATATTGTATATAAATATTTATTTTGTCATCAGAGATTCATTAGCCTGCTTAAACTACCTGGATCAATGTGCTAAACTTGCAAAATTTGTGAAAAAAATTGTTTTCACAAATAATGAAGGTTTTAATCAATATGTTGCTATCAAACAGTTGTCCCTACATTAACATGACTGCAAGTAATGGTGAAGTTGCTTTAAGCCATTTCCTGCAGCAGAAAAAGCTGATCAATCATGTGGGGTAAAAGTTTGCAACTGCTTTTGTTTCGCAATAAGTCTTTTCATCTCTCATTCTGTGCATTAAGTCCTTTCCCTTTTTTTTGCAAAAGACGAAATCCATTTCAAGGTAGCGTAAAAACGTTTATTTTTCTTTGTGCTAATTTTAGGGAGTAGCTTTTTTTTTTTTATCTTAAAATTTTAATGCGCTACTTGAAAAAGTGCATTATAAAAAGCTTATGTAAAAACACATTACGACCAGCTCCATTTTTCTCAGTTGTGACTTGGGCAAGACATTTCACTCCACCTTAGCGACATGGTTGTCAGACTGCTTCCCTTTTATGTCAACCTTGCTTCTGTCAGTGAGCACCAGGACAGCTGTGGCTACAGTGTAGCTTGCCTACATCAGTGTGAATGACTGAATGTACTGATAAGCACTTACTGTACTGTATTCTGGATTCATTCTCTCTAGTTGCCTCTTCACTTGACTTCTAGAGACAGACAGGTGCAGGGAGCAGTACCATCTTTGATTTGGCTGACAACAGACTCATGGAAGCAGAAGAGTCAATAACAGAGGAGGACAGGGTCTCCATATGATAGTAGGGAAGAAGGGAAGAGAGCTTGTTGCTGAACTGAATCTGTTAAAGAATGTATTCAATTAATTTGCTGTGTCCACACTTCCATTTGTCTGAACCTCCTTCTGCTTAAAGCCTGTGATCTTTGCCACCCCAGACCACACATCTGATATTATTCTGCTGGAGCTTGTTTTCCAGCCTTTTCCTGTATGCCTCCTTGCTTTCTCTTATCTTGACCTTAAGTTTCTTCTGTATATTCATCATTAAGTCCCTTTCTCCCTTTTTAAAGGCTTGCTTTTTCTTGTTGAGCAATTGCTTCAGAGCACTTGTGATCTATGGTTTATGATTTGAGAGGCATTTCACTGTTCTGCTAGAGATGGTGTTTTCTACAAAGAAATGTATGTAGTCAGTCACACACTCAAGTCATTGCATTGATGTCCTCTCAATGTGGCTGACACAGTGCATCCCAGTGTAGCCTCAAAGCATCTAGCATATCAACATAATCAGCCACTTGTTTTACATTCTTGTCATTGGCTGAAGAAGTTCTCCAATTGCAAAATCATAGCTGTTTAGAAAAAAATGCATTTGTGTATTAGTCACGTCAGGGGATCCTTAAAAATCTACACACAAGTGCAGAGGAGTTTAGCAAGCACTGGTAGTTCCAAAATTAAGGTATACTTGTTTATGCATCACAAAGACTTTTGTTAATCTTGTCTTGTGAATATGTAAACCTTGTGTGCTTGTCTAAGTTACATATGTATGTGTGTTCGTTTTTTTTTTTTTTTTTGTAATTTATCCCCACCGAAAGGGTCGCTAGAAGAGCGAGACTTGGTTACAACTCAGTGTCCAAATGTTGTTTATTTATTTTCTTTCTTGATTTCACACTTGAAACACAGCAGGTTATAAACCTGTGGAAAACACCAAAGTTGTGCCATACATTAGATGCCATGTTCAGATATTTACATAAATAACTAATACAAATTCACTGCAATATCAATGAGAAATCCATATAAATACACATAAATGCATCCATAAGCTATAAACTCTTATTTAGACACACACCATGAAGCATCAGTAACTACTGTATAAAGATCTGCAGCTTTTATAAATAATTCATATAAATACAATTCCTCATTAAAGCATAGCCAACAATATCTATAAATACAAACAATAGAATGCACAACAGCAGACACTACACTTAATCCATTTCATTACATACAAACACTAAAGCTACCACTGCAGAAAGCAGCTTAAAATAACAACAACAGGAGCCCATTTACTAATGCTAGGTGAGTGAACCACATCTCCCATCATGCATTACAGGAAACAACTACGACTTCGGCGCGACTACAACACCCAGAGTGCACCGCGAATCAGGAAGTAAGCGCATAGCGTCAAACGCGCTTCGTTTCAAAAGTTTGTACCGTCAACTCAGACTAATAAACTTTAACAGTAATCGGCGGATTAAAACAATGCACTCGCCAAGCGACCACAGTGAAAAAGTTATAAACATCCGACCAGTTAAAGGGCAACAACAGTCGATCAAGCAGTTTAAAACAACCAGCGAGAGAATATTAAAACCCAACACCTTACCGGTGATGTGCGTCGCTCTTCCAGCCGTGCAATTGGATTCTGTCTCTGTGCGTGCACGCTCCTGTTTATCTACGCATCACTAGGAACACTACATCCAACGGCAAGCCAGCACACCAAACCAGGTGAGTGCCACCTCCCACCTAATCAGCTGTGCTGCGTTACACCTGATCACCCGTGAGTTGACGTTGTTTACTCACCACCAAATGACAGTGCACAAAACACCTCCCACTTGACTGAATGATCGCAAGATCCAATGAAGTCACAAATTTTACAATTAATTAATTTCTCTTTCAGAGTCCTTGAAAGCTCTTTCAAGGGGTGTTTTTTTTTTTTCTTCTTCCCGGGTATGATGCATGTTTGCGGCTCTTCATGATGTACAACTTTGATGGCATAGTGGCAGCGTTCGGCGTTTACCACTATGTAATGCACAAGTGTATGTAATGTGCATGTGTATGCGTGTGTGTACACATGTGCTGAACATAGTGGCAGCGTTCGGCGTACACCACTACGTCAGATTGAGGCTGAGGATAGAGGGTTTTAATCCTCCACCGGAAGAAGGACCACAAGTCTCCTTACATCCCTCTTGATCACAGTCGTGGGCAAAGGAGAGCAGCTCTTCTTGCAGCTGCCCGACTGTGATGCAGGGATGCCAGTGCAAGTCGTGATGTCAGCATCCCGGACGATCCCCTTGTTGTCAGGGTAGACAGACAGAATTCTGCCCAAGCGGAACTGACCTCTCAGAGCATTTGGGTCAGCTACCCAGACGAGATCGCCGACTCTGATGTTTCTCTCTGATCGGTGCCACTTCTGACGAACGAAGAGATTTGGGCCAGCAAGCTCCCTCCATTTGGCCCAGAAGCGATCTACCCCGATTTGGATAGCTCGCAACCGCCGCCAGGAATGAGTCTCCAGGTCGAGACCGGTGGTATCTCCCCCCAGCGATGCTCGACCCAGGATGAGGGAGTTTGGTGTCAAGTACTCGATGGAGTCCTCCTGCTCTTGAGCTCTGGCATCAATTGGCCGTTCGTTGGTTAAGTTGGCTGCCTGGTAGAGGAGGGTTTGTAGTTCTCCCCATGTAAAGGACCCTGTGATCCCACCGAGGTTCGTGAGCGCCCTCTTCAGAAGCTTCACGGCAGCCTCTGCAGCTCCATTCCTGTGTGGCGCATCTGCCGGGTGGAACTCCCACTTCCACTCGGTTCCATGTTTTGCAGCCACATTTTCCATGGATAGAGTCTGCAGGCACTCCAGGCGCTTGTAGAACTGCTGTAGGGCTGGTTTGGCGCCGATGAAGTTTGTTCCCCGGTCAGACCAGAGTTTCCTTGGATGTCCCCTCAGGGCGACAAAGCGAGTGTATGCCAGGAGGAAGGTTTCCGCTGACTGGTCATCAGTGAGGTCTGCATGGACCGCTCTGGAGACCATGCAGCAGTAAACAATCCCCCACACTTTCTTTGAAGTCCTTCTTTTCACACTATCCTTAACCTCGAAGGGGCCAAAGAGGTCAAGGGTGGTGAACTCGAAAGGGCAAGCTCTCTGGGTGCGTTCTAGGGGTAGGTCGCTCATGACTTGCTTGCATAGTTTGGCTCTTTGCTTTGCGCAGGTGATGCAATTGTTAAGCACCTTTTTGACGAGTTTTCGTCCCTGTGTGATCCAGGCTTTTCTTCGTGTTCGAAGTAGGGTTGGAGCGATGCCTTCGTGATTTTCTTCATGGGCCTCCTTGACCAGTAGGGATGCGAGCCATGACTGGCATGGGACCAGTGGTACGACCACTTTATCCTCTTTCAAACACTGGACTCTCCCTCCACAGACAAGAAGACCTATGGTTGGTTCTTTTTGAACGACTAGACGATCAAGCGTTGTGTCTTGAAACTTGACGCCGTGTTGGGCCTCAAGGGCTAAGAAGTTGAAGGCAGCAGCCCTTTCTCCAGCTGAGAGGTAAGTTTTGGCCTCCCACTTTAAGGCTCCAGGGGTCTGGGTGCGTCTGCTTAGCCAGATGTCAACTGCTCTCTTCAGCCAGCCAAGAGCCCCACACAGACGTGTCAGAGAGCTGAATCTTTTTGGTTCGACTAGTTCCACGAGAGCGATGATATTTTGGGCAGACCATTCCCAGGGCGGAGCTGCAGCTGACATGACTGTTGCAGAGAACGCCTTCCTTTGGAGAGCTGCAATATCTCCAGTGACGGAGGAGATGACTTCTCCAGCAGTTTTCACAGGCCATTCTTCAAAGGGGAGTTTGAGGAATGCAGGGCCTTCCTGCCAAGCTGAGCCTTCATCAAGGTCCTCAGGAGGTGCTCCCCTTGTGATGAGGTCAGCAATGTTTGCTTTCCCTTCGACCCATCTCCAATTGTCGACATGCCCGGCCTTTTGGATTTCCCCTACCCGATTGGCAAAGAAGGACTGATAGCCATAGCTATCCTTCTGGATGGCTCCAAGAATGGTCTGGCTATCGACTATGTGGATCCACTTGTCGACTTGGATATGGCAGTGCTTTTCAAAGTAGGACCTCAGGCGAGTTGCGAAGACAGCCCCGCACAGCTCTGCTTTGATGGCATCACCCTTATGGTCTAGTGGGGTGAGTTTGGCCTTGGACTCAACGAGTCTGACAATGACTCCATCCACGGTCTCCCAGCGGAGGTAGAGCACTGCTCCATATGAAGCTTCACTGCCGTCTGAGAAGGTGACGCCCATGGGGCAGCCTATGGCTCCAGGGGGAGTAAGGCTTCTGGGGAACCTCACCTTGAATATGTAAACCTTGTGTGCTTGTCTAAGTTACATATGTATGTGTGAATCTTGTCCTTTGCATGCATGAATCTTGTGCTGTGCTTCGAGTATGCATGTGTAGATCCTGTGTTCATGTGTTCATCTGGTGTGCATGTGTGGATCCTGTGTTCATGTGTGCATCGCGTGTGCATGTCTGGATCCTGTGTTCATGTGTGAATCGGGTGTTCATGTGTGGATCCTGTGTTCATGTGTGCATCGGGTGTGCATGTGTGGATCCTGTGTTCATGTGTGCATCGGGTGTGCATGTGTGGATCCTGTGTTCATGTGTGCATCGGGTGTGCATGTGTGGATCCTGTGTTCATGTGTGCATCGGGTGTGCATGTGTGGATCCTGTGTGCATGTGTGGATCCTGTGTTCATGTGTGCATCGGGTGTGCATGTGTGGATCCTGTGTGCATGTGTGGATCCTGTGTTCATGTGTGGATCCTGTGTTCATGTGTGCATCAGGTGTGCATGTGTGCATCGGGTGTGCATGTGTGCATCGGGTGTGCATGTGTGGATCCGGTGTGCATGTGTTACAACATATTTTCTGTCATGATCTGTGTGTACTTGCAGGACTGTGTGCGCACCTTTGGGCATGCATATGTAGTGAATCTGTGCAGAACTAAGCCTCGAGTGACACAAAGAGTACTAAATTATAGCGACAGTAATTGAAAAGACTATATTTGGGTTTTTTTTTATACATGGTAAACATGTTGACCTCTTTTCATAAGAAATATGAACTTGAATGCATTAAAAGCTTACCTGCGCATAATTTGTAAAACAATTTAAACATTTGATGGACAGATGAAATATGCTGCTGTTACTGACACACAATCAGAACTATTTAAATAAAGATGTTTTGCTTCTCCACATAAAGATTAAAGAATGTGCAGCAGAGGAGTTGGGAAAGGGCTTCTTGGTCTCCTGCCTGGTGGACAACCGTGGCAACATCACCGACTACCAGTGCAACCAGTACATCACCAAGATGGCCAGCATCATTTACAGCGATTATCGACTTATCTGCGGCTTCTTAGACAATTGTCGGGATGACATCAACACTCTGCGCTGTGGTAGCATTAGCACTGGAGAGAAGGTGAGCTATGCTTTGTTAAACATCGACACATCAAAAATAATCAAGTAGTTTATAGCAGGGCTGGGGCATTAATGGATATAATCGATTAATAAAATTTTTGGTTCTTGGCAATTTGTCTTTTTTTTTAAATCAGGATTCACAGAGTTACATCATTTCCTCTTTTTTTGTTCTTAGGGTTATAACTATAAACTATGCTCATAACTAAACTTACTGTTTGATACCACTAGCTGCAAAAGTTTAGTGATATATTTTCTTTCGTTGTTATGAAACATGATAATTTTACAAGCATGTTTCAAAACCTGAATTTTATTGCTTTTTAAATTGAGGTCGTCCTCACAGAGCGGATGATTGAAATCAAAGATAGCTTTTAAAAGCTATATATGTCAAACTTAAAGGTATAATGGAGGATTTTCTTGAATTTTTGAAAACACCCACCCTCTCCACGTAAAAAAAAAAGCACATGCTAAACCCTGTACACGCTCCTGAAAGGAAACGCAAACAAATGCCTGTTAGAGCATGCAGGAGCCCATTTCTCCTCGCGCACGCTCATACAAGCTTACTTTCCTAAAGAACAATTGCATTGTTTCCACTATGTTAGACTCATCACCGGTCATATCACCACAATTAGGAGGACTACTTATTTTAATGATCCACCCGGCAAAAGAACATCCTCCACTATACGTTTAATGAGAAAAAAAAAACAGATTTGGTAGGACAAAAATTTAGGGATTTGATTTTTAAGTCCTATCATCCAGCCCTACTTTGTAGATCTACTTTAAGGTTAAATTATGGAGTCTTCTCCTTAATATTGTGCTCATCTGGAGTCTGTATGTTGGCTCATTTGTTTCTGTGCACTGTTGTGTTGATGAAGCTTTAATGACTACTGATTTCTTGTGCAGTGTTTGATGCTTCCTTGTTTGAAACTCTTAATTAACCCCAATTAATGTTCCTCTATATTCTACATGCAAAGACAAAACGCTGTTGAGAGGAGGCATTTACATCAAGGCGCTGTGCTTGTTTAAACCTTCTGATATGGGACTAAACTAACTTTTCTTTGTGCAGGATATTCATTCACAGGGGGAAGTGATCGCCTGTCTGGAGAAAGGTTTAGTTCGTGAGGCTGAGGAGCAACCAGGTGCACATCACATCAAGGACGACTGTAAGAAGGCTATCATGAGAGTTGCAGAACTCTCCTCTGATGATTTCCACCTGGACCGCTACCTGTACTTAGCTTGCAGAGATGACCGTGAGCGGTTCTGTGAAAATGTAAGGATTTTAATATCATATACACAATAATGTTCCAATAAAACTGTGAAAAGCATCATTTTTATAATAAGGCATCATCTCAGAAACCTTTTTTGTAATAGAGGTATATCTCAACGAATTGAAATAAAATAAACATACTGTTCAATACAAGTGTACAATACAAATAGTACAGGAAATATACCTTATATAAAGCATATTTTTCTGTACAATATTTTTATTTATACTATTCTCTTAAACTTACTTATACTAAACTCTTGAAGCTCAGTTTTAGTTTGGCAATAAGTGATGTAAAAGCCAATATTTCTGGTGTCAAAAGGGTCTGTTGAAACAGACTTTAGATAAAATGGCAGTAAATTGGTTACAGAAATTAAGGACATGTGACTCAGGTTGCATGGGCTTCTATGACATCTTTGACATTCATATTCTTATTTTGTTATTATTTCTTTTATCTTTTTTTTTCCTATTGCAGACACCAGCCGGGGAGGGTAGAGTTTATAAATGTCTTTTCAATCACAAGTTTGAAGAAGCCATGTCTGAGAGGGTGAGTGCTGTTCATACTTTGATTTTCCTTTCAGCTCTGTTTAGTGGGTTTCTATGAAGAGGTCAGATTCATCAAACTGTAATCACTGAATGTTAAATAAAAGATTCCGTGGATCTGGCTTAAATTATTGCTAAATTGTTTTCATTATTTGGTGAACTTGTGAATTGTGTTACTGATCATTTCTTTCTTTAGTGCCGTGAGGCTTTGACCACCAGACAGAAGTTGATTGCCCAGGACTATAAGGTGAGCTACTCGCTGGCCAAAGCTTGCAAGTCAGACCTAAGAAAGTACCGCTGCAACATGGACACAAACATGCCACGAGCCAGAGAAACCCGTCTCTCCTACCTCCTGCTGTGCCTTGAGGCGGCTTTACATCGAGGTGAGGCTGTTATTTGGACTATATAAACAGAGTTTAAAATTATAATGTACATACAGGGAAAAGGAATTGTACATTATGTCTTATTTCTCATATAAAATATGTTTCAGGTCGAGTAGTGAGCGGTGAGTGTCAGGGAGAAATGATGGACTACAGAAGGATGCTGATGGAAGATTTCTCCCTGAGTCCTGAGATCGTGCTTCACTGTCGCAGTGAGATTGAGAATCATTGCTCTGGTTTGCATCGGAAAGGTCGGACGCTTCATTGCCTAATGAGGGTTGGCCGAGAAGACATGGGAACTATTGAGCCCACCTGCCAGAGAGCTGTAAGTTGCATTAGTTTTAGCTTCAGTAGAATTATGAGCACCTGGACATTAGTTAGTTTATTAGTTCTTAGATTTTTGCTCCACAGTTTAAAGAATTTTTAAAGACATAAATTTATTAACATTTTCAGCTTAAATGTAGTTATTACTTTCAAACATTCCCACTGCAGGAGAACTTTTATACCTCAGCTGAAAGGATTTCCTCTGGCTGCCATGCAGGACAAACATGCAGTTTTATCTAACATGACAGTAAAAACAACAAGGTTCAGCCTTGAGCACACTGGATCCAGTTTTGCGTGCGATCTGACAGAAAAGGTTGTGGCCTTTAGTGCTCACTGAGAGTCAATAGGGATGATCACACCCAACATGATTTTCTGCATGGGGGGGCTTGCGTAGCTCCGACTGAGTTAAACTCCAGGTCTGTTTTAGTTGGACTACACAGCAATTTCATGGGTCTGACAGGCAGAAAGATGCAGTTACAAAGTAAAACACATCCGTGTTTGGAAAAATACAAAGTAAAACCTGTCAGACTAACAGGAAAACAGGTTCAGAGTTGCACAGTGCATATAAAGCAGGCGGGGCCGGCTGCCAAACGATCAATGAAACATAAATAAAAAAGAATACTTTACCCATGATAGTTCAGGAGGATACAAAACGTATAATTTAGTGATCCTTTTTGAGCCTCACAAAAACAGAAATGGACCGAAGCTCAGTTTATCAATCTCATCAAAAAAGGGGAAAAAAACCTAATTAGAACAGGAAATGGATATAGTAAAATAGTGATCCTTCTTGAGCCTCACACACGAACAAAATAAGGAGGGGCAGACAGAACAGGTAAGGGCAGCTTATCTCTCCCCTTTTTATAAAAAAAGAAAAACAAAAACTTTGACAGACTTCTTAGATCTTTGGTTAAATGCTCTCACAGCATAGAAACCGTTGCACAGCCTTTATTGCAGCGTTTTCCCTTCCTTTAGATGTGGTTCCCATTATGTTTTTAATGTAATTCTCTTGTTAGAGATGCTGCACAGACTTGTTAAGCGGGGTTTTGTATTGCTGCCCTGGTTGTTTTTATTTATTTATAAATTCTGAAGACCTCATCTGCCCAAGTCAAATATAGGAAATTGTTTCAATTTGTGTCGCACAGAAGTGAAAAATATAAAACCGATCTTATATAATAGAGCCTCCCTATACGCAGTCAGTGTGACCCGGCCTTTAGGCAGCTCTGATGGATAGCCTTATACCTACGTTCGGTTTTAAATGCAATCTGAACCTACATGTTCAACGTGCAGGGAAAAGTAAGCTAAATTACCAAAACCTAAAACTCCATGGGTTAAGGATGGTACAGTAAAAATCTGATTAGTTGATGCAGATATCAGATAAGTTAAAAACACAGTATTTCTGTTAGTTCAGTGTCGGCTCCTCTTAAAATGCAGAAATTATTAAGAACCGTGGTATAAATAACTACTCATCTGTCACAGATACCCAAGCTTACCCAATAGATGAGTTGGCATATATAATGTGTATTTTTACCACATGGGTCCCAGAAAAAAACATGGCAATGAAGCAATAATTATTGATAATAAATATGATTTGTTTCATTTGTCTTTATCAACACACTAATCCCAACCACCACCCCTAGGGGGAAAAAAAAAAAACACATCAGAAATTACACACTTTTCTGCAAAAGAGCTATTTATGCTCTATTCCACAGAGTTCCCTTCACATATCAAACTCTCTTGCAAGGGGGGAGAGGAAAGGGAAGTGGGTGTTAATGGTCATTTGCGCATGGAGAGGGACAGACTGGTAATTTCTCCAGAATGGCTACTCCGTCCAGAAATAACTTTTACTTTTTACAGGGATACAGTAGGGAATTACAAAGCAGCAGTGAATGTGTACGTTCATAAAGCCAAGCAGAGAACATGAGACCGGTTCCAGGTGGAAGCAGACGGACATAACCCAGGCTAAAGGCGTATGTTCCAGTGAATGCAAATGTGCCTCCGGCCCTTCCTCAGACACTCTGCTGCGCCTCTTCAAAATTGTAGGTGACGGCAGACAGGAGGCCTCTGATTGGTCAAATCTACATCCGCTCTACACTATGCGTATTTCCTGTTTGGTACCTTACCGGCTTGTTTTGTTTGTATGACCGCCATTGTGGTAAACTACTCGTAAAGATGGACCAGCTAGAAGAGTGAGGTGCGCAAGAATGCTGGGACCCTTTTTCCACCTGGATCCCCGCTCTTTTTCACCTTCATGCCCCTCTGTTGTCGCACAAACTTGCCCCCACTTCCTCACCGCCTCGGCCATATTTAGACCCTCAGCTTGTTGGTGATTGTCCGTCTTGCATTGTGGCTTGGAATAACATAGTGCAGACCATGTTCAATATTGGGCATAAATCAAAAATATCTGCAACAAGATCACTGCGACACACTGCTGCAGGGAGTGTAACCAGCCCTTAAAGGGGGAGTGGGGGCCTAGGGGTTAGAGCATTGCGCTTGTGTGCCAGAGGTACGAAGTTCAAGCCCCACTCCCACAGACTGTCACTCTGGCTCTCTGAGCAAGACCCTTAACCCCACGCTGCTCCAAGGGTGCTGCACAGTGGCAGCCTTCTGCTCTCCAAGGGGATGGGTTAAATGGAGAGAGTGAATTTCCATGTTGTGGGATACTAGAGGATTTACATTTGGTCTTTTTTAAGCCCATACAGAATCCTAGGCTGAACTGCTCCCTGCAAATGTGTTAGGTGGTTAAGGTGAACAAGAGAAATCATACAAAACTTCCCCATGAGAAACACTTACTACAGCAGAATCTACATTGAGCAAACACCAATACTGTTTGTCCATGCATGTGATGGGAGAGGCAGCTTTGCTGGCTTACATGTGCAAACATTAAGTTTGTTTATTTTCTGTTTTTTTTCTAACACATGGTTCCTTTATAAGTATGTTTCACACCTTGATTTGAATTCCTCTTTAAATAAATACAAACAGTATTTAAAAATTCTAGATTCTTTTTTTAAACCATCCACTTTGGGAATTGCCCAGAGGCTGTCATTTTTTGCAAACAAAGCGGCGTGTGTATGACGTCATCCGCGCATGCGCACTGGAGTCGTAACAGGAAGCCCGGGCCACAGGCGGCTGCGCTCTACCCCTTCTATTCATTCGGCTAGCTAATCTGAATCGTTCAATTCCATTTTGAGAGCGAGATCATCTGTTGTAGTAGCACTAGACATCTTCCAGGCAAGTCGGTAAAACTAGCAGCAGTTCAGCGGACAGGATGAATGAATGGTAGCCGGCGCGGATGACGTCATACACACGCCGCTTGTTTTTAAAAGATATAAATATAAAACATATATCCGCGGATGTCTGGGGGACAGTCATTCGCCTACGTTATGAATGCTAGCATACTATAAAGAATAAATTATGGACAGTTTAGTTTATGCTTCAAGTATTTTGCCCATAGGAAAATCAAGGAGCCAATGTAAAAAAAACGAAATTCCCCTTTAAGTTAAAAACATTTGTTTTTATAGTTATTTTATATACTTCTAACCAAACATTTGCAAAACACTGATCGTCTTAGTCACACACATACCTCATTCCTTTCATACTTGGGTAAGCACTTTAATTCAAGGGCTGTAGCCACCTTCAGCCATCTGTTGTTGATGGTGGCCTTGCGTGCATCTAATTCCTTTTAGAAAGCGGCCTTGAACTTATTTATATCATATAGCCTGGATCCTTATCAGTGGGAGTCATGACGCAGTTGAGATGGCAGTGTGTGTGGAGCAGGAGACTATAAGTGTCCCCTCCTAGCAGCTCTTTCACACATCTGAAGTGGAACAAAAATAAGATAATAAGACTCACTTCATTGTTGACATGTGTGAGTGTGACATAGCTGCAGGCTTTCCAAAACATCCTGCATTCTGTAGTCTAACGCTCTTGGTTAGTTAGTGTAACCAGGTTGTTCTTCTGTTTGGCAAAGGTGGCATAAACCGCCTCATGGTTCCACAGAAACCTAAAGATCAACAAGAATGTCAAATTCCATCTGTCAAGCAAATAAAATAAAAATTACATTAGTCCTGCAGAGAGATAAAGTAGTTGTAGAGAAACATACACAGACCTTCTCATGAAGAGCAATAAAACTTCAGAATCACTCTCACCTTGTGGATCCGTCTTGAACCAGGCTCTATCTGAATGTCCGAGGGGAAGTCAACCCATTGGACACATATGGCTAGGGCTGGGTTTCTTCGCCACCCTCCTGAATCCATTCGATTTTGATTCATACAGTTCTAAATCAATTAATTTCGATCCAATCTGTTTTTACTATAATGAAAGTGGTTCAACTGTGTTTCAAAATACTTATGTATTTTGTTTTTTCCTGTCACATTAAACACAAAGTGCAAACTTTTAAATGGGACAGTTTAAACTCGAGATGTGAACAAAACTGTCTCATAAGTGCAAACTTGTTTGTGAAAAGTGAAAAAGTGAAGCCTCACTTCCGCAAGCAGACGTGACACAGCAGACATTCATGAGCTGCATTATCTTCACTACACAAACCATATTTGCAGCGTTGTCTTTAACTACTACAGGGTGTTTGCTGGTCAGCCCCCATTTGTTAATGTCTTCACTCCACCTATTGGCTATATTTGCAGCTGTCTGGCTTGAAGTCATCTTGAGAGCATCTTTCCTGCTTATTTGAATGTGAACATCACGCGGGTCACTATAAAATGAATTGATTTTGTTCTCATTCCCTAGACATCGATTTTGCAAAAATGTAAAGGAATCTATTAAAAATTGATTAAATCAATTTTTTACCCAGCCCTACATATGGCAAACACTCATCACCATGCTGCATAGATTTGAAACAGTTCAGAATGCCGCCATCTGTTGGATAACTATGAGAACTACAACTGAGTGACTATCCTAATGTTTGCATTTTCCCACGGTTTAACTTTTAAAGTGTTATAATAGTATTCATAATGATAATAAAAATAACTAATAAAAAACCAGATGTCTGACCTGTGAATTGTAATATGATAAACAGCCCTTCTGATACATAACAGCTATGTTACAGTGGGGGCCCGTCACTATATGACTCCGAATTATAATACATCCTGGTTTTTTAGTCATAATTATATCCGATGGCTGATAGGTTAACTTGTTTGCAGCCGAGAGACTGTGGGTTTGAATTCCACCCTGGCTCTATATTTTGTATCTAGTCATGTATATTATTGTTTTTGCTCCTTTATATAAATTGGAACACATCTGCTCCCATGTAGCCTAATATTAGAGGGGGCTGAACCTACAACTAAATAATCTATGTTATTGGAAGCATCCAGGTTATTCAAATTTACAGTGAAGCTCAACACAAAGTGTGATGTAACGAGGCCTCGCTCACAGCGGTCACGACTTGAAACTCTTCTCAGCAACACTTCCGCTGTGTCAGACTGACTGCCTCGAGCTTAACATGACTAGAGGACAGTCCGTCGCTGGTATAGTTCTTCTGTACAGGCAGAGCTCTGCTTGAAGTGTCTTACTACTTTGCCAGGGCAGCACGAAAGGCAGCTGACCTGCTCCTGCGACCATTTTTCTTGCACGATTTGTTCGGATTGTTGTCACTTTACTTTTATTTCGCTTTTTTTTTTGTCACAGCATCGAACTGCTCGGCCAAGCATCGCCGTAATGGGGGCTAACATTTTTCTTATGGTTAAAGCAAAAGTTTCCACTCTCTGTCTAGTGGTCTTAAAGTACAATGATTTCCCCACTATGATTGAGCATTATTTTGTTTTTACTAAATAATAAGGTGTTTAGAGAGAAAAGATTTTGGCTCTGTGATCACCAACCTCTCAATCCCTTTTAAATACTGTGGTCTATATTTAAAAAAGGGCAAATAAAAAAAACATAAAAAGTTAACATCAACACATTGCTCCCTAATTCAGAATTTGGCCAAGAATCTGGTATCCAGACTTAATGGCCACGTTGCAGAAAAACTTTAAAATGTTGTAATTAGGGCGGCTTTGCTTGAACTCAGACATTTCTTTAAAATAACCTTAGCAAATGTTTCTGATCTGACAAGAAGTGACACGTTCTTTGACTTCTTCATACTTCTTGGGCTACTTCAGTAATATAGTTACGGGTTGGGATAACTTAACATGGTTCTAGTGTATTCACCATATACCGAAAGCAAATATAGCAAAGCCGCTCCCTGCCATCGAACACAGGAGCAGCAGAAGCATCAGATGCAGCTGGAAAAACTTAACTGGACCTTAATGTGGACAAGCAGCAAAGATAAAGTACCTTTCCTGCTGCAGTCACGTTCAATATCAATGAACCATAAGCCAAACAGAACCTGCAATGATGGGTATTTATCTATGAACCACGCAGCCCCTTTTAACCAAAGCTTTACTAGAGGTATGATTACCTAAAGTGGAACACTGCTGTGTGTGTTTGCTATAGTTTAAAGTGGTGATTCTACCTTTCCTAGCCCAGTTTCTGCTGTGTCTTATTCTCCTTCTGATCTTTGATCGCGAAATGAACTGGTGATCTCCAATGGAGGATTACCATTGCCATAAACTTGTTTTTATTGGTTATTAATCGGGGTGTTTGAAACGAGTGTCCTTTCTGCGGTCTGTCTGAAAATGTGTTCCACGTTTTTATGGAATGCACATGACTTAAGGTAATTTTTTATTCTTTTTGGGATCATTTTACAAACGCTCTTTTTATAGGAGGATTTTGCCAAAATAGAAGAAAGAAGCTTTTATATTTTTTAATCAGTGAAGCAAAGATGGCCATTTACCTGTCCCGTAAAGACAGACTGCAGGAGGGACCTCACCTTGATGCAGTTGCTTTGTTGGAAGTGCAACGTTAAAGCCAGAATAAGGCTGGAGTTTCTCTTCCACACAGCCACACAGAACATGGGGGATTTTATTCAGCTGTGGGGTTTTAACATCATTTTATGTACTGTGTCAGATGAAGGACAACTACAATTTAACAAGCTCCTCATTTAACGGTTTTTAGCTGACACTTGTTTTACATCAATCATTGTTTATATGTTTTGAATTGTGTAAATAAAGTGTTGTTAAAAGTCTCTGATCTCTGTCTTTCTCGTATTTAGCTTCAGGCACTGATCCAGGAAGCAGACCCAGGAGCTGATTATCGTATCGACAGGGCGCTTAATGAGGCCTGTGAATCCGTCATCCAGACAGCCTGCAAACATATCCGCAGTGGAGACCCCATGCAAGTCCTTTTACATTGTACCTTAGCATTGATTTTACAATGTTAAAAGTATCCACTTTTCTGATGTTCTTTGCTTAGAATCTGTACAACCAATACATCTCTTTTTATTTCGGTATTGAAACCAAAGGTTTTCTTAACTGTTAACTAAAATAAAGTATAGACAAAGAACATTTTACCTCTTGAAAAGGTGGATCAGCAGTAACTATCAAATTTGTTCTGATGCTGCAGGATATTATCTTGTCTGATGGAACATCTGTACACCGAGAAGATGGTGCAGGACTGTGAGCACAAGCTGCTGGAGCTGCAGTACTTCATTGCCAGAGATTGGAAGTAAGCTGCTGAAAGTGATTCAGTTAAAAACAAAAAGTTTCAAGTTAAACTAGTGTGACAGAAAAAACAAAATGTTAACATTCACAGCTAAAAACAATAATTCTCAAAATAATCTAGTTGTAATTTTCTCCTTGTATGTTAAGGACTTTACCTAGATTGAATAAGTCTAGGTTTGATAACTTTTTAGAGTAAAAGTACTTGATAAATAACTAATTAGACTAAAAATAATTGTGGATATAGCTTGTTTTTAATGTGCTGTTGGTAAAGTGCATTTAGAGGAAGAAATAAAGGCACAAAAAAATAGAATTTCACAGTGATGTGCTCAATCAGAATACAATTGTATTCATGATGCAATGCTGTGTTTTTTTTAGGCTTGATCCAATTTTGTATAAGAAATGTCAAGGCGATGCAGCTCGACTCTGCCACACTCACGGCTGGAATGAGACCACTGAGACGATGCCAGCTGGTGCCATCTTCTCCTGCCTGTATCGCCATGCTTATCGCTCGGTGGAGCAGGGACGGAGGGTGCGTATACCATGCCATCATAGACTCTCCATTTGAATATGCCTTTGTAGGAATCTTTCATCCACACTTAACAGATTACATTTTAGCAAAGTGAGAATATATCTTTAGCAGCTTCTGCATCTAAAGGCTGATTTATACTCAGAAACCAGGTCGTCTGCGTGTGTCGCAGTGAATGCAAATGTGCCTCCGTCCCTTCCTCAGACACTCTGCTGCACCTCTACAAAATTGTAGGTGACTGCAGACAAGGAGGCTTCTGATTGGTCAAATCTACATCTGCTCTACACTATCTACATGTATTTCCTGTTTGGTACCTTACTGGCTTATTTTGTTTATATGACCACCATTGTGGAAAACAACTCGTGAAGATGGACCAGTTAGAAGAGTGAGGTGCGCGAGAACGCTGGGACCCTTTTTCCACCTGGATCCCCGCTCTTTTGTCGCCCTCATGTCCCCCACTTCCTCACTGCCTCGGCCGTATCTAAACCCACGGCTAGTTCATGATATTCCCTCTTGGGTTGTGGCGTGGAATAACATAGCACAGACCACTCTTCAATATTGGGCATAAATCAAAAATATTTGCGACAAGCTCACAGCGACACACTGCTGCGGGAGGATAACCAGCCCTTAGAGCTGTAACCCGGTATGTATCAAAATGGGGAGCTCGTAAATGCAAACCATGTTTTAATAACTGTTGAGTCAGTTTCTAATATAGGTGCCTATCGATCATAATTGGCCTTATATTATAAAAAAGAAAGTTATCAAAATTCGCAGATCAGTCGATGGCCAAAACCGATCCACAAACTTTGCAGAGGCCCACCCGCATTGCATCTCTCTTTTCCTTCGCACTGTGGAATCCTGGCAGCAAATCCTAAGCACTGTCATTTTATACTTTGAGAGTAATATGAAGTTTGCATCTAGCAAGGGAAAAATTCCTGGAAGGTCAAGCATGTCAAAAAGCATCAATACAACGTGACATTTAAAAACAAGCACTTGGCAGGGTATGAGTTATCGAGGCACAGTGCTGAAAAAAAAAGAGACTGAGTAGATGAATGGACAAATGCCGACACTCTCCTCCATGAGCAGGATAACCTGAAAAATGATTTAATTAATCAGATAAAGCACCAGTATTGGGTTCTACCAACAACTCATGCTACTGGGGCATAAATATTACAAAGACGTAACGTCGTTCATGCTTAACCAGAATGTAGAGACACACAGAGAAAGTCTCCTTAAAGCTGCAGGATGGATCTTAAAAAAAAAAGAGAAGTTTTGTTATGTCCGAACATGATGCATATAATTTGTGGGAATAAAAAATAAACTCCTCTTTTTCTCCTTCCCTGTGTCCAAAGAAATCCAATTATTTTTTTTTCCTCACTCACTCTTCGACAGTGCATGACAGTTTTTGGCAAGCAAACAAACCAAACCGCCAGACTGTCAGGCAGTTTTGATGTAGCAACTTCTGATTGTTTATTTGCATTTGACCTTTATGTTTTATTTTTACTTGACATTATTTTATATCAGCAGTTTTGTGATATTTGTATATGATAATAGTTCTATATGCATACAGTGAGGAAAATAAGTCTTTGATCGCCCCGATACTGCAGCATCAGAACAAATTTGATAGTTACTTTCCAAGTTCTTAGAAATCATGGAGGGGTCTGAAATTTTCATTGCAGCTGCATGTCCACTGTGAGAGACATTATCTAAAAAAAGAAATATATATAATTTTTGTTAACTATTTATTTGTACGATACAGCTGCAAATAAGTATTTGAACACCTGTCTATTGGCTAGAATTCTTAGTGTTAGTCTGCTTTCATAATGTCCACTTCCACTCTATTTATTATCCTAAATTAGAAGATTTCTAAGTGGAAGAACTTTCAAAACAGCACGGTGTTCAAATACTTATTTCCTTACTGTAACTGGTTTGAATCTGAATTAAATTTCATTTGTCTTTTTGACGGAATACTTGCTGTATTAAGCCTGCAAGATTTTTTATGTTTGTTTAAATTGGGTAATTTATAAACCAGTTTTGCCCGATCACATAGCCAATTGTAGCTTTTAAACCCAAATCAAAAGGTTAGCAGCTAATCCATGCGATCGGCAGTGATCAGCCCTCATGGGTGCTGAGGATAGGTGGCAAAAATCACGATTGGAGCATCCCTTGTTTCTAAAAGATTGGTACCTCCATTTTCTTTATTATTTTTAAATACAGGTATGATTATGAGGCTGTAGTGAAAAAAAACAAATAGCGTCTAAACTTCTAACAAATATTTTTGGAGTTCTACATCAAAGCAGGAAATCTTTGCAAAAAAAAAAAAAAATGAATATGCTTTGGTGATACATTAAGTAACATTGATAATAGTATGAAGACCAGACTATGATTATTGAGTTAAGATATTAGAAGACATCTCTTTGTAAAGCAGACAGAGCCAAACAATGCAGACACAACAGTAGTGTGTTATCTGACTGCTGTGTCTGTAAAGTGCTTTGAGATCATATGTGTAGTGAATTTGTTCTATATAGATAAACTAAATTGAATTTAAAACCTATACACATATTTTGTTTTCAAACTCCACTGAAGTTTATTTCACACTTCAGGTTGCAACAAAACAAACTACACCATCTTTACAGTGGAACACTTTTGTGTAACTGTATTTTTTTCATAGAAGATTCTTGCCTCTGTGCAAAATGGAGTGAAAACATTGAACAGCTCCCTGAGAATTTTTTCTTTGTACTTTAATCCTCCCATCTTTTCAGTGGCTGTAGTGAGCCTGTTTGTTGCTGCAGATCTTCTCAATTCTGGGTTGCAGTGTCACAACTGTCCATTATGCTCAGTCAAGCAAGCACTGTTTTTTTTTTTTTTTTTTCTTCATTCATCCATACTGCTTCCCGCGCCCCCCCTGCAATGGCATTGCACCCCCCCTAGGGGGCGCGCCCCACACTTTTGCAACCACCGACTTATGCATTTAAGAGTAAAAATCATACAATAAATATGTTACTTTTTTTTTTTTTTTAAATAAGCTGTCCTCGGTGGGTTTCTGTGCTGGGCATTTCCAAAAACCTGCACTGGAATGTCATTGTTTGGCTTTTTAAAAAAATAAAGGTTGTTATCTCAATGCTGCTGCTCTTTCTTAAACTGATTTCATCCCCAGCTCTCCAGAGACTGTAAGGTGGAGGTGCAGCGGATTCTCCACCAGAGGGCGCTAGATGTAAAGCTTGATCCCGAGCTGCAGAGGCGCTGCATGTCCGACCTGGGGAAGTGGTGTAGTGAGAAGACGGAGTTGGCCGGCCAGGAATTGGAGTGTCTGCAGGATCATTTGGAGGACTTGGTGTCTGATTGCAGGGAAGTGGTGGCAAACCTGACGGAGCTAGAATCAGAGGTACGCGTGTCTCCCTTAACAACAGCAAACTGATGCTTTAATCAAGTTTAAACTTATTAGAGCCATCAAGCTGGAAATTTCAGCAATTTAGTTTGCAAGACCTGCTGCAGTGGCCATGTTGATCAGTAAGATAATATCTGGTTAAACACCCTACTTTCCATCCTCAGGATATTCAGATTGAAGCCCTATTAATACGAGCCTGTGAACCTGTAATTCAAGCGTACTGCCATGTGAGTATACATTTATAAATAGATCTTTGTACTTTCAGAAGGTTTCAGGATTTCCATGTTAAAATATATAATTTTAGAATTTTTGAAATAATTTAAGAACTCATTTCAGGATTTATTTAGTAATTTATTCTTCTTTAGACTAGAATCATTTTCTGTGATTTATTTACACGAACTTCCTTAGTCTTTAACATGGCTTTCAGTAATGCTAATAGAATAAAACTACTTAGAAAATTGTTTATCTCATGAATAAAGATTAGTGCTGAATGTTATTTAAAATGCGAAATCCTTTCATTTTTTCCTATTTCCATTTGTCAGGAGGTGGCTGACAATCAGATCGACTCTGGTGACCTAATGGAGTGTTTGGTTCAGAACAAACATCAGAAAGAGATGAATGATAAGTGTGCAGTGGGAGTCACACACTTTCAGCTGGTAAGAGTTTTGGTAAACCTGCGTCATAAAGCTGCTGTTTATGCGGTTCTCACTTTATTTTGCCTTATTCTTTCATTTAAATCATAGGAATTTATGAAATCCTTGCGTAGGTTCTTAATTCCACCTGATTGAACCGATCACCTGTATAATATCAACTCATCATTTTCATCAGTCTTATTTAGTTTAATCCTTTCTTAAGTTACATGTAGACCTTTTTTTCTACTAAAATCTCTGATTTGTGGGTTCTCTGTGAATTTGATGTGTCCGCTTGGCTGTAGAACTGAAGTTGAAGCTGATTTATCTGCTGAATCTCCAGCTAACAGACCTTTCTTTCTGTAATTTTCTCCAGATTCAGATCAAAGATTTTCGTTTCTCATACAAGTTTAAGACTGCCTGCAAAGAGGATGTCCTCAAGCTTTGCCCCAACATTAAGAAGAAGTGAGTCAAACTTATTCCTCTTCTCTTCATGTCAGCAGCACATGGTTATTGTAGAAAAAAGCTAAGGAGAAAGGTTAGACATTGATACTGGGAAAGGTCTTTTCCTATGCTGAAGATGTTTATTTTTTTATTTACTTTGGAGCTTTTAAGAATCAAATCCATTTCTTTCCTGAAAGTCCCTCCATGTTAGAGAGGTTGGTGAGTTGTGTTTTCAACAATAATTTCCCATTCCTCAGCTGAACATCTAATCTCCAGCTCTTTCTCCTATGGTCCATGAAATTCTTCACATTGTATTCAAATTGCCCAAGCTAGATATCATATTTATTATAATAATCATAAAATTGGTTATATTTACTAATAATCCCAATATTTATTGTTTTTCAGAATTAATAGAAAAATTGCTTCAGTGATGTAACTTTAACAAAGTTAACAAAAAAATGGTTTGAGGAAAAATTTCTTCAGCTTTTTTTTAGATTTTAGATGCAGCCCGATATGTTTGGATATTCACTTTTTGGCTGGTATCTGACTAATTTCTAAGATTAATATCAGCTTAGGACATCCCTAACAACAAAAACGGGAGTAAAAGGTCTAACAAAATAGAAACCGTAAACATAAACATCAAGTCTACATGCACCTCAAACACGGTTTCCCCGTCATGAGGCGTGTATTTACATAGTATCCTCGAGCAAACCACTTGGGCATTGAAGTGAAGCAGCCAGCAGGGAATTTCTCACAGAGAAAGCAGAGCGATGGTAGCAGAAGTTGGAAAATCTGAACATCTCTGTGAAATCATGTCGCAGCAACTAATCAGGGACTGTTTGTGACCTAGGTTGAAAGAGTGCAGCTTTTTAGTCAGAGTACAATACAGAAAAAAATATGTTAACAAAGAATGAAATAAGGAATGCTCTTGAGAGGTTTGAAGGTGGCTTTTAATAAAGCTGTTTTAAATGAGCCCTAGAGGGAGTGGTCGTTTTCCTCCAGCATAGAGCCTAGCCAGCTGCTGCCTCTCCCCGGCACTGGTGCTCTCTGCCCAGCTGGATACAAAGAACTACAGCTGAATCCAACCGTCATTCAGATGCAGTATGGAAACGTTGTTTTTCATCTCCAAACGGGTCCCATCTCTTGAGAATCGGGCGGACCCATAGAGTGGATATAGAAACTCAAGCTCCGCCTATTGTATGATGACTGCTGTAAGGGTGATGTGCATCTGAAATGCACAGTCGTGAACTCCGGGCGCGGCTGGCATAAATAACCAACAACACCATGTTTGGTGTGAATGTACCCCGATTCGCCTGTATTGTAAATCTTCAAAGTGTTTGTAAATTTTAAATCCAATAATAACCTAATAACAATAAAAATATATAGATCAATTTAAAACCTCTTAACATAAAAAAAAAAAACTTTTCTGTTTCATTTTTAAATTGTGGAGCTATATCTGATATTAAACAGATAAGTCTGTTATTATGGATCATTATACAATGTAATTTAGTCATATTATTATTTCTAGGGTTATTGCATCACTTCATATGAATATGAATGTTGTAAAAGTCTGGAAAGTTCCAGTGCAAATGAATGATGGGGAATTTTGTAGGTGTTTGACATGACAGAATCCTTTTACATGTTTTTAGAGTCAGGAAAGTATTAAATGATTTTAGTCATGGTTAAAGCCATACTGACTCCTTTTTAATGGTGTGTATTTTTCTTAGATTTATCTGAAGATGCAGTTACCAAGCAGTGCTACGATTTTCCTGAAAAGTTTTTTTACTAAACAGATCAAATTGTTTGTCGTTTAGGGTGGATGTTGTTATCTGCCTCAGCACCACAGTGAGAAACGACACCCTACAGGATGGCAAGGAGCAGCGAGTTTCTGTCAAATGTCGTAAACAGCTTCGAGTGGAGGAAGTGGAGATGGTATTTTCACTGATGCACTATTGATTAGAACCAATATATCATGTAACCTGACTTACTGAGCATTTTTGAAGTTATAACCAGTTGATTTAGCGAATTTTTGTATGGACTTGTTTATGTTATATTATGTTACCTATTTTTGACCAGAGATGCACCAATCCATTGTGTTCCGATCTGATACTGATACCTGGGCTGAGCGCATTAGCCAATCCAGATCCACTACTGTTGAAGCATACGTTGCCATGAGAGTAAAAGCATTAGGCTCGACATAAATGCTGCTTAAAAAAGATATCAAATAAACACTGCTGTAAATGTTTTATAGCTGCTGTGCCTGCCCTGCATAATGGCATAATTGACGTCGCAAACGTAGCATTGTTTGATAATAATATCAAAAAGCAATGATTGACAAGAATGCTGTATCAGTGTAATTCATCTATCTGATCCAGCAACTTTTCAATATCAGAGTTGATATGATATTAGGGATGCAACTAATGATTATTTTGCAAATTGATTCATTTGTTGATTATTTTTCTCAATTAATCGATTAATAATCAGATAGATTGATTCCTTAAAAAAGATTTTCTATGAAATTAAACCAGGTGAAACTCAAACTTTCGCCCTGTGGAGCTCTGGATAGAGCATATTGACAGACAATTTTTTTTTTTTAATCTTAAATGCAAATGTTACATTTTCTTATTACAATTTTGTTGTAATTAATGCTTTAACTGGGTCTGTCTGTCAGCTAAAAGCATGTTTTAGAGTCTCTATATTCCAGTTAACGATTAATTGATGACTGAATAAGTTGACGATTATTTCAACAGTCGATTAATCACGATTGATCTGATTAATTGTTTAAGCTCTTTATGGCATTGTATTGGATCAGATCGGTGCATCTCTATTTGACATGTTTAGGGTTTGGCTTAGATCTATAATGTGAATTACTTTTTGGAAAATTAATAATGTGAGTCAATGTAAAGTCAGCAAATACACAGAAACGAACAAACGGGTGTGTGTGGGGGGGGGGTGGCGGTCTAGTGGTTAGTTCATTACTCTTGGTATCCAGAGGTTCTGAGTTCAAGCTCCACTCCCACAGACTGTCACTCCGGCACCCTGAGAAAAGACCCTTAACCACCCGAGCACCGCACAATGGCAGCCCACTGCTCCCCAAGGAGATGGGTTAAATGTACAGAGTTAATTTAGTTGCTCTGTACTTTTGACAGTGTGATGACAATAATGCTCTGGAAAATGGAAAGCCAGTGGTTCACCCTCTTAAATCAGTTTTAATTTTGCGTATGTTCTTGTAAATTAGATCTGCTTGTTGACAAATAGGTTTCATTCTGTTGAGTTTGTCTGTGAATCTGTCTTGAATGTTTGCAGTCAGAAGACATTCGCCTGGAGCCTGAGCTGTATGATTCCTGCAAGCAAGATATCAACCGGTTTTGTCAGAATGTGGCCTTTGGTAACGCACAGGTCAGCAGCAAGATGCATACTAATTACTCACTATGAACACAAACAGGACATTTTTTCCACTTTAATTCAGCGTGGATGTAAAACTGTAATGCTGACTAGTCTGCTGATTATTAGAGGTGTGATAATAGATGCAGTTGTCAAATGTGTAAAATGTGTTTAGGAGATTTTAACATTGTTCAGCAAAATGAAGTGAGAAAACAATATTTTTTTATAGGGATGCACGATATAATCGGCCCCCTATCGGTATCGGCCTGTATCGGCCTTAAAACTAAATATCGGACATCGGCCACCCCACCGATATTTAACCCGATATTTGATCAGCTTCTGAGTTTCTAAAGTCTAAAAAAAACTAAAAATAAATACTACTTCTTCTTCTTCCTCAAAAACTTCTTTTTTACAGACTTAAAAACTTCTAAAGACGAGAGAAAAAATATTGATACATTAAAATATCACAATATCTTCATATGCTGATATATTGCCATTTAAAAACACCATATCAATCTCTTTTACTAATGAAATATTGCTATATGTCATCGTTATGCTACGAAATCCCCTGAAAATTTACGAAATTTTGCCATATTTTTATATGTTGATAAATTGACGCGGTTTCTATCTATTTTACTAACAAAATCTCACAAGAATTTGCAAAATATCACGAGAGTTTGTAACAGAACAATGAAATTTCACGAGATTTTGAAAGTAAAATAGATCGATACCGCGTTTTTAAAAATCAATTTGATATCAGCATATGAAAACATATTTGAGTATATTATTTTTCAAAGTGTCAGAAATGGATAACAAAACTGTTATTTTCAATGACTACTTATTTTTGTCCAGCTTTAACATCAGTATCGATATCGGTTATCGGCTGCATCAGTTTTAAAATATCGGCATATCGGATATCGGCCAAAATCCCAATATCGTGCATCCCTATTTTTTTATAATGGGTTTTCTTTTTTTCCTCTTTTTTTTTTTTTTTTTTCTTTTGCTTTGCAATTCTTGCAGTTGTACTATCTTTGTTGTTTAGTTTGGGTCTGAAACGGTTTCTTTTAATATCCAACACTTTGGTTACATTCTGCTGCCATTTTTATCCACCATTTCCTTTTCCTCTATTAAGCAGTCAGTATCTAAACTTTGGCTTAAATCCATCCCTCTGTAGGTGGTTGAGTGTCTGAAAGAGAACAAACGGCAGCTGTATCCACGCTGTCACCAAAGGATCTTCAAGCTTCAGGAGGTGGAGATGGTTGATCCTGAACTGGACTACCAGCTGATGAAAGTCTGCAAGCATATGATCCGGGTAGGCCAACCAGCAACATTAAAAATGGGTCACCACTTTATATGACTTATTTGATGCATTAGAATAAAACAATACTGTTTACCCAGCTATATTTATTAATTTGATAAATGTATGTAGTTATTGCCATTTTTCAAAACTGAATCAACGGACAAGCAAGAGTCTTTTTCCCACAGCTCAGAGTGCAGAGATGGGATTCTAGGGACAGGTCTTAGAAGTTTGAAAATATGAGGGCCCATGTGACAATTTATACTCATTTTATGCTCCTTAGTGTGTTTAGGTACAGCTACACCTGATAAAAAAGAAAACTTTTTAGAAGTTACACTTGAATAAGCCTGTTTTCATAGATAACTTAAAGGAATTCGTATTTTTGGCTTTAAACTTAGATATTTAGATATTTTGCGCTTAAACAGTATAGACTTGGTTTGTTTTTCATTTTAAATGTAAGTAATCTTATTCCTTTGTCACATTGTCTTACTTACCTAAGAATCAGATATGTTGTGCTATAGCTTGAGACTAATTGTGGTTTTAGTTTAAAAGCTCAGGTTTGAACCACAAAAGCTTAAACTTGAAAAAACAAGAAAAAACAAAAAACATTCTGTTAAATGTACCACAAATGAAAAACTATGAAGGACCAACTCTGCCATATTTAAAAATAAATACAGAAATAAATAAATGTTCAATAAATGTATAAGCATACAATTAATTGCCAACAAAAAAGTGAGACATAAATGTATATAACTCTTAATTAGCTTCTTTATTTATTTGCCTTTGTAATATTTACCTTATTTATTTTTCTGTCCTTTATAATCTTCAACTTTATTTTTTAATTACTTATATTTTTAAGTATTTATTTATGTGCATGTTATAATATTTTTGTCTGTTTTATTCTTCCTTTGTATTTTTTTACCTTAGTTATTTCCTCGCCGCTGTTTATTTCTCTCTGCCCTTTTTACATTTCTCTCTGCCCTTTTTACATTTCTCTATGCATTTCTGCCTCATTATGCAAATGAGGAGGGGGTGTGTCCTAGAGAGTCAACTTCTGCTCATTGGTTGGCTTGGCAGTCCATCTTCTTAACTCACAGAGCTCAGAGTACTAAGTTAAATGTTCTCTTTTCTGTTGCTGTTGTTCAATTAAAGTATGTTTTAAGATTATTTGAGATGAGAACCTTATACTTTTAAGCATCACCATATGGCCCATTCACAGATTTAATGCGTAATTTAAAAGAAAATGTGACGAACTTAAGAGGACCGTGGCAACCAGCGGAGCTCCGAAGCTGACGGCAGCCAGACACAGCTATGCCGAGAGAGGGCCGCTGCAACAAAAAATCGCCATCATCACCAGCGATTCTTCACACACGGCTATTCCGAGAGAGGGCCGCTGCAGATGGGCTGTGGTTAGACCTGGCTGCCGTCAGCTTCGGAGCTTTGCTGGTTGCCGCGGTCCTCTCAAGTTCGTCACATTTTCTTTTAAATTACGCATTAAATCTGTGAATGGGCCATATGGTGATGCTTAAAAGTATAAGGTTCTCGCCTCAAATGATCTTAAAACGTACTTTTATTGAACAACAGCAACAGAAAAGAGAACATTTAACTTAGTACTCTGAGCTCTGTGAGTTAAGAAGATGGACCGCCAAGCCAACCAATGAGCAGAAGTTGACTCTCTAGGACACACCCCCTTCTCATTTGCATAATGAGATAGAAATGCATAGAGAAATGTAAAAAGGGCAGAGAAATGTAAAAAGGGCAGAGAGAAATAAACAGCGGCGAAGAAATAACTAAGATAAAAAAATACAAAGGAAGAATAAAACAGACAAAAATATTATAACATGCACATAAATAAATACTTAAAAATATAAGTAATTAAAAAATAAAGTTGAAGATTATAAAGGACAGAAAAATAAATAAGGTAAATATTACAAAGGCAAATAAATAAAGAAGCTAATTAAGAGTTATATACATTTATGTCTCACTTTTTTGTTGGCAATTAATTGTATGCTTATACATTTATTGAGCATTTATTTATTTCTGTATTTATTTTTAAATATGGCAGAGTTGGTCCTTCATAAAAAACCCTGAATAGTTAGAAATTTAATCTGCCTAGGATTTTTTTGCAACAATTTGGCAGAAAATAACAAGCACACAGCAGATCAAATGTTTGTGTGGATTAACAAATATTTTACACAAATAGTTTTTATAAATTCAAACTTATTGATTAAACATTACGTTTTTTGTGTGCATACCCAGTGTGCTTTAGTACTAGTATTTGCATTCAGCATACTATCCAAGCTGGTAACACAGTGATACGTTTTAATGAGGGTTTTTTTGTGTGTGCAATGGCTACTTTGTGCACAAGCAAGGTTTTTTATATGATGCCCAGACAGAGTGAGACTGTCAGGAAAAGATACTGGTATTTCTTTCCCAACTAGGCCCCAAAGCATGTTTTAACTGTTCAGTTGTTTCAGCAGAGTTCCTCTCAGAATATGCAGACAGAATGTACCAAAAACCACCTCAAAGATGACAACCAGTAAGTTTGTAAAGATGTCGGCTAGGGCCGCCAAATTCTACACAAGATAAAGGCCCAACCATAACTGATGGTAGCTGGGAAATGACAACAATACAGAATGGGAGCAGGTTGACCAGATTACTGCTAACTGCCATTAATTTATTCTGTAATAATAAAAAACAATAATATCCATTTTTTTATTCTTGCAGAAATACAGATAAATCAGACTCTACTATCTCAATACAGAGCATGGAACATTTCTTCAAAATTAAATTTTTAAAAATTTGCGCTCCACTTGAAATGCTCAGTACACAGATGAACAACCTTCTGAAGTTTTGCAGGTAGATTTCTTTCAAAGATAAAAGTCTGAAGACTCAGCGGATGGATTTTATCAGATTTTTTATTTTTTTTTTTTGGTTTATACAGATATTAACAGAGCACCTGGTGCTCTAATATTAGCTTTATCTGTCTGTAAGCTCCAGGTCTGTGAAAAGAAAGATGGCGCCTGCTAGTCCGCGGTCTCTGATAGCCATGGTAGTGGCTACTTCCCCTTATAATGTCATAAGGGGATTTGTTTTCAAACATAGCACTTTGAGCACATATTAGCTAAGAGCTGGAGAAAGGCAATGATAGAGGTGAAAGTGTTTTTTTGTTTAACCTCAAACAGAGGCTTCAGGACACATATGACTGTTACAAAATGTTTATAATCTGAATTTAGCATAATATGGGACCTTTACCTCTTAGTCAAGTGAAGCTAGCTTGCTAACAGGAGATGGTAAACCATTACCTTCTTAGCAAGATGAATTGTCGCAAGATTTGTTAATTTACAAACTACTAAAAATGCATCTTGCCAGAACCCAATAGATATATTAGCCTCAATGCGGAAATGTTTCAGACCAATGAAATGCAGTAACGTGTGTGACATCAACACGTCAACCAGAAACAGAAGACTAAATTAGAACAAACATGGCTGTGTTGGTTTTAGCCTGAATAGCTGCCATTTCCTGACCAGATTCTGTAAGAGTTTGATTTACAAATCAAGAATGTGATACATCACAGGAGCTACTGCTGCTGTGATTGGCTAAAAGCTCCACATGGGAGGCAGGTGCGACTTGGTGACTTATGTCCCTCCCTTTTTCAAACACTATCCAGGTTAGGTAAACCATGGCATATGATATAATTCACCAGCTCTTCACGTTGGTAATTTATTTCTGGCATTTTCTAACCAAATTTGTATTTTTGCAATATAAATGAAACTGTGACCACCCAACCTCACTCACTTTGATATATTTTGTTTTTGTTTGTTTTTGTTTAGCGTTTCTGTACAGAATCAGAGGGGAGGAATGTTCTTCAGTGCCTGAAGCAGAACAAGAACAGTGAACTGATGGATCCGAAGTGCAAACAGTTGATCACCAAGAGACAGATTACCCAGAACACAGGTTCTCACACAGCAGCTGTTCTGCCTTTCACCTCTCAATCTGAACCCAGGATGTATCTGCTCAGAAACATGGAAATGTAACAGTTTTTTTATGTGTGTGTATTCAGACTTCAGATTGAACCCGGTGCTAAAGAAGGCGTGCAAGGCTGATATCCCAAAATTCTGCCAGTCCATCATCAACAAGGCCACAGCCGACACGGAGCTAGAGGGTCAGGTCATCTCCTGCCTGAAACTCAAATATGCAGACCAGGTTAGAGTCATGACATGGATGTTTGATTCCCTTTCTCTTGCAGTTATTAGTCTATTTATTTGGCTGGCCCAGAACCAACTTTCAGACAATATATTCGTTTATTTCAAAAGCTGCAAGATTTCTGTTTGTGAATCTTGAAAATTCTTTAACATGACATGCCTGCATCAAATTATAAAAAAATTGTTCTTAGTTATTCATAGCATGCTGTCAATGGCAATATCTCAATGTCTGTTAAATAGTTATATAGGGATTGCTGCTATGCATTTGGCTCTGATTATATACTCTCGTACGGTTAAAAACCACTTGACAGAGTTTGTGACCAAGTTTAATCACAGTTGATCTGATCATAAGAGCGAGTTTTGAAACTGAGTTTAAATTCATTGTATGTTTTCTTTTTCTGTCTCAGAGTTTGCCTTTAGTGGGTGATGCATATGGTACTTGTAGGTGAAAAAATCCTTTAACACAAGTTTGCAGACATTTTCACAGTCATGCATTTTTAATAATCTACTATTTTGATATGTGTGACAGTAAAATAGTACATGTTAAACAAATGTGGTTGATATTTCACCATGGAACAGCTAGGATGGTCGGGAAAAAAAATTTATTACCGTTGTTTGGAAAGATGGCCCAAAACTGTAGAGCCACACACTATTTGTAGTTATTAATGTATCTTTAAAGAAAAAGCAAAGTAGTTCTTTGAAAAATGAAAACTTTAATCTGCAAAGACTGACAAATCTCAAAGGTTTTCCTGTTTCTTGACTTCCTGTTTTGCAGCGTTTGTCTCCTGACTGTGAAGATCAAATTCGAGTAATCTTGCAAGAGTCTGCTCTGGACTACAGACTGGATCCTCAGCTCCAGATCCACTGCACACAGGAGGTCAACAGCTTTCTATTAAAAAAGCCTTATTGCACTACCATGTTTAAACTTGATTACTTCACCTCCTCTAGTGATTTGTTTTCTGTATCAAAAATAATTACATATTGTGAAAAGTAAGGGATTTGCTTTGAGTCATGTAGTTTGCATTGTAGCCATATAACCCTCAGTGGGAGAAAACAGCTTTAATTATAAACTGTTACTAGTTTGATAGTAGGGCTCGGCATGGTTCAGTTCTTGCACAGTTCTGAGATACCAAAAAGCGCATGAGCAGACCGCGTCCTCTCCTTACAGTCAGCCTACATACTCTTGAAATTCAAGACATTCATAAAAATACTAGTTTCCCTACCGTGTGCCACACAATTTCCAATGACGATTCTGCTTAGCAGTGTGATGAACCTCGAAGTCCTTGTTTCCTGCGTCTGTAAGCCCTGATTAGACTATTGTCTGTCGTATCCACTTCCCAAAAGCCGACTCTGTCAAATAAGTTCACCAAAGGCTGCCTTCTTCACCTGGCTCTCTGCAAACAACGAAATATCACAATTATAACCAAACTTCCTGAATGTTACTGGCACCGCTATGTTGATTTGCATATTTACCTCTAGAAAGCGGTAGTACCGTAGATCGTCACTAGGAGGCGAGGAACCGCACTAGCGTGATGTGTAAACGGTCGTAAGGAACCAAGCCCGGCACGGTTAACTCATCCAACGTCAGCACGAATCGGTTTACAGTGTGGAGTGTAAATGGGGCTATAGACGCTGAAAATTAAACCTCATGCACCCCCTCAAATAGCTAGCTGTAAAGCATTAACAGTTGAAGTTAAGGATCAATCATTATCGTCAACTTGTTTAGCGTTTCTGTTGGAAGATAATGATGCCGGTCGTGTGAGATTTGCTGAACAGACAAGAGGTCATGTTTTGTTAATCAGTGTTTTATTGTGTGACTAGATTTCAAGTCTGTGTCCAGAGGAGGCTGCAGCTCAGGAGCAAACTGGGCAGGTGGAGGAGTGCCTTAAACTCAATCTTTTGAGGATCAAGCAGGAAGCATGTAAGAAGGTAAAAACTGCCACACTGACAACGTATAGTGTCTGTCTATATAAGTGTTATGCACGACGTTACACTTCACCGTATCATTTTGTAGTATTGTTTTTGAACTGCTTTTTTTAAATAACGTCCCTCTTGTTTGCAGGAGGTACTGAACATGCTGAAGGAAAGCAAGGCGGACATCTTTGTTGATCCCGTGCTTCACACAGCCTGCGCTCTGGATATCAAGCACCACTGTGCTGCCATCCCACCTGGCAGGGGACGACGTAAGGCTTTGACATCTCTCTTACTAGAAATTCTGAAGATATTAGGGGAGCATTTGCATCATCATAAATTCAATTACTAAAAAGTAATTGCATGAGATTTTAAGACGGGTCTCTTCCTCAGAGATGTCATGTCTGATTGAGACGCTGCAAGACAAACGTGTTCGTCTGCAGCCAGAGTGCAAGAAGAGACTCCAGGATCGCATTGAGATGTGGAGCTTTGCTGCCAAGGTACAGTATATATCATTCTAAAAATGATAATCTTCACTGTCCACAAATTTGGTAATCCTCCTTTGGTTTGACAGCGTAGTTAAAAAGAAAAAAATTATAAAACCCTTTATGGTGGGTTCAGACAGAAGGTGGTGATTTCCATGAGCCCCGCAGGGAGTTCACCGCCCTGCACTTCAGATGCAGTATTTAAACCCTTGACCACCTCATCAAATAGGAGGAGCTTCAGCTGCGTCAAGCTGACACCCCACTGATGTGAAAAACCTCAGCAAATAGACTGAAGGGTTATTGCATCATTAGTGCACGTTTGTGCATTCAAAATCTTAAAAATGAAAAAATAAATAGCAAAAAGATCACATGTGCTGCTGTTTCGGAGATATTAAAGATTCTATTTTAATTATCCCCCCCATTAAGCTCAGAGTTGGATCAAAATGATCTAGCCTACTTTTTCGGTGCTACCTTATTTCTGCAGGTAAAACTATTGTTTGTCTTTATTTGGTTTTTAAGATAGAATAATTATTTTTAATTATGACCCATGACGCCACAATCCCAGCAGACATCAGTGCTGCACTCGTTCCTGATATAAAGTTATTGCATGACATCACATCATTCCTGTGCTGGTAATGAATATAACAGTGGGCATGGTTACCTTATTTAAAGGCTGGAATGATTGTTTGATATTTAGTACATTTCCTGCCTCTCAGACCCTTCATTGGACCTGTCGTTACCCCTGGCAACCCAATGTTATTTCCTGTCTCGTCTGCATTTCACATAAGCACAGGTAAAACTTATCACGGACCGCTGCTAAATTGTTCTCTATGAACAACTTTTGAATCACCTTGGAGAGACCATCATTTTTTGGATAAGCTGAAAAAGCTCTGAAAAAGAGTCTACTTTGGTTCATCCAGACACAGCATCTGGATGACAGTCGGATTCAGCTGGGCTTCCTTGTAAATCTACCCGTATAGAAAAAGCACTGATGCCGTGCAGTGGGCAGTGACACTGTGGGCAGTCTGTGCTGGAGGTGAGGATGAAGAACAGTCGTTCTAGGAATAAATAAAATGGCTTTTTTTTTTAACCAACCTTAAAACCTCTTAAGAGCATTCCTTATTTTTACATTTGTTTACATTATCTGTCTATTTATTCTAGTCCCTTAATGGTTGCTGTGCTGCGATTTCAACTTCAGAGATCACCACTCCACTCTCTCCTTGCGGTGCTGCTGTTATACAACACCTCAGCTCTATCTAGTTAAACATGAGGTGAAGGAGGAGCGGTGAACACCCTCACCGCTTGGGATTCACCACAGTTTGCATAGGGATAATATGTGAATCCACCACCCTCACCACAGAAACCGCTCTCTGTCTGTTTGCACCTTTTCATTGAACGATAAGAAATAACAAAAAAAAAAAGACACAACCAGTAAGGCGTCAGAGAGATCCTGGTACAAGTGTGGAAGCTTTGTACTTTTTTTCACCAGGCAGTGACATCAAACAAAGTTCTTTGCTCAGACCTCAGGGCTCCACTGGATAGATGCTCCCAAACATCCACTGCAGCTCTGCATGCTATGGAACCAGTGGAGAAATGACGCTAAACTCCTCACACTAGAAAGTGAAGACAAACAAGCTCTCAGCTGTTTGCACAGACCTCAGGGTTTTACTGTTACATATTTTAAGTTTGTTCCGGAGGTGTGGCTTTTATGCATAAAGTGGATAGTTCTAGATCAGGCACGTCCAAAGTCGGTCCTCGAGGGCCGCTGTCCTGCAGGTTTTTTTGAGTTTTTTTCTGCTTCAGCACAGCTGATTTTCATTGATAGCTGATTAAGAAAATTTGCTGAACTGCTATAATCAGAATCAGTTGTGTTCAAGCAAAGAAACCTCTAAAAACCTGCAGGACACCAGTGGTCCTTGAGGAGCCACTCTGGACATGCATGTCTAGATGAAACAATGTCGTTCCTTCTACTGAATATTATATATATATGATTAAAGATATTGAGAGAATTAGACTCATTTTTCAGTGTATATGCAACACTAGATTTGTAGATACAATGATGTAAACCTGTTTTTTTGTACAATTAGGTATGTTTATGCTTAAATGCATACAAAAATAAAAACAAATATCGAGTCCAAATAAAATCGCAAACTCACGATTACTTCTGTGCATACAATTTGACCAAAAAAGTCCACAGGTTGCAGGATACACACAAAGATTACTCACTGATACAGTTAATCAGTGAGTAAAAAAATAATGGATTGATAAATTTCTAGATGGAGAGAGATTCTGTTCACATTTAAACATATTTGGACCGTCAGAAATAACTATAGATAAAAATATGAATAAAAGACATGTCTATGGTCAGCACGAAATTAGAATGCAGGCAATCATTATGCATTTAAAGCAAATGTTTTCATGCTTATGATATATAAATAATTTTTTGTCATAACTTTTATCATTAGTACCTCCAATTACATGGCTGTTAGGGTTGGGAATTGATACGATTTTCACGATTCCGATTCCCTTATCGATTCTGTGAGTGGATTCGATTCCTTATCAATTCTCTTATCGATTCTGTTAACAAGGAACTTGGTAAGTGCACAGTGACATTCATCTACCTTTGCCTGAGACATTCTGTTTCTGCCTGCCTCGGCGAAAACATAAGGCAGTGAACGGGAGCTGCCAGCCTCTGAGCCAGCCAAGCTACCCGTCTCGTCTCAGTCATCTAAATCTAATGGAGAAGGCATCCGTTTAATGAAGAAGCATTACTGTACAATTTCAGGAAATAAACTCATCTCCCCTGATTTAAATAAATGAGCGTCACCTTTCTCTTGTTCCCTAAACTGCGGAGCAACTTCGTAGCATGTTTAACAACCCCAAAGAGAGGCAGGACATTCATTTATTTCCAGAAATGGCATATCATTTACTAGGAACCACATTAAGCACAGCCAATGATAGAAAACTAGCTACTTACCACCAGAGCTGGCTTCCATGCTGGTCGTAACTTTAGCTTCTGTCCGGAAGGCATCAAAAACACGGCATTCGTAAAAATGTATGGCATGTTGTGTGGGCAGCTGTTTCTGCATGTTGGATGTATTTCCTCCCATGGATGTAATTACCACTTTACATCCAAACTTTCGATCAGTTTATCTGATGGGACGCCTTTTTTTTGTTTTGCTTTTCTAGACTTATGCCTGGTCACGTCGTACTTGCTTACTGAATGCCGTCTGCGTAACTTGCGTAAAAAAAAAAAAAACAGACTTAACTTGCGTAGAAAACGTGGCGTGAGTCGTGCTGTCCAGCGCTGGGCTGCCTGGAACCGTTAAGAGAGTCATTAAGCGAGCTGCCAATTGATGCCATGGAATTGGAACACACTGAACCGGTTCTGAACAGGAACCGGTTTTCGATTCCCATCCCTGATGGCTGTGAACATTTTTTGTTCTTGTCAGCAGAACACGCAGTCTGCTCATTTTAATAGGCAAAACTGAATCAATTGCACCATAATCTTTGTACAGCACCAAAAACCTGCCCTCTTATTGCATTTACTAAAAAGTTATTGCATGTTAGTAATATGCTGGTATTGAAACGTATTCTGTTGTTAAGACAAGTGCTTTATCTTATTGAAAGGTAATTTAAACTCTTTGTCCAGTCATGCTCACATGGATTAGTTCCATCAGTCTTACTAAACCTTTGGAACAAAGTCTAGCTTTTCTTTAGCACAGCTTATCAATCTCACGTTTTTCAATCAACTTGACTTTCTTTCTCTCACTGCACTATGTTTTGCTTTTCTAGACTTACGCCTGGTCACGTCGTACTTGCTTACTGAATGCCGTCTGCGTAACTTGCGTTTAAAAAAAAAAACAGACTTAACTTGCGTAGAAAACGTGGCATGAGTCGTGCTGTCCAGCGCTAGGGGCGACAGTGGCGTTGGATGTGGGAGTTTGCCCTGTAATCGAAGGGTTGACGGTTCAAGCCCCGACTCCGACTTTCATTGTCGTTGTGTCCTTGGGCAAGACACTTCACCTGCATTGTCTACTGATGGTGGTCAGAGGGCCCGGTGGCGCCAGTGTACGGCAGCCTCGCTTCTGTCAGTGAGCCCCAGGGCAGCTGTGGCTACAATGTAGCTTGCCACCATCAGTGTGTGAGTGTGTGTGTGAATGGGTGAATGAATGTAGTGTAAAGCGCTTTGGTCAAGTCTCCTAACTTGAATAAAGGCGCTATATAAGTACATGCCATTTACCATTTACCTATGAATGTAAACCACAGCTAAGGCCTGTAAAAAAACCAAACAAAAAAACAGCGAGTTTTACCCACAGTGCCATTTTGACATCAAAAGCCCTTTAATAAAACTGTCCTTTCTCTAATTCTCCTCCAGATGCCTCCTGCTGAGGGCCTGTCAGACCTGGCCAAGCAAGTGTTGTCCTCACCATCCAAGAACTATATCCTGACTGTGATGGCTGCAGGTGTGACCCTGCTTTTCCTAATCGGGATGGTTTCTGGCCGATTCACTAAACGAGTCACTCAGGAGCTGAAGAAGAGGTAGACCCCGCCTGGTGATCAGGAAGTGTCCACAGGAGAACTGGCCGCCTCTGAGGAGTTCCTGATGCTCTCACTGAACTCCCATTTTCCCCATAGAAGAGACACTGAACGCCTGCAACATCCAACCTGATTTGTCTTCATCGTTTTTTTGTTTCTGCTTTTTGCTCTTAACTGCTGCTGGGAAATGACATTACGCTCTAACCCTCACAGAAACGTGGCTATGACTTTCCAAGCCTCAAGAGACGGCGCTTTCCTTTCAGTTTATTCTTCAGATTTTTGGTTGGATGAGTGTTGCCTCCTTATGAATTCTATCCGCCCGCCTGGTGTACATGCAGTATTTGTCTCATCTCCTGCTGATTTTTGGGGAGGAGGTGGACATGTCTGAAGATTTGAGGGATAACCTCTCACAACCAGCAGAGAGGTGGAGAATAAAACTTTCCAAAGTGTAAATGTGTAGAAAGTGGGATGGGATAAGACCGACCTATAAAGTGGGTTAATGACTTTAATATTTTGATAATGAAGCTGTGTTCTTTGGCATGAGTGTGTGCTGTCTTTCTGCCCCAATATTCTTTTCAGTTGTATCTTTAACTAGTTTTGGGGGGGCCGGGGGTTATTGTACTTTTTTTTTAAGCCATGGGACTGCAGGGCAGGTGAGGTCAACCAACCAGCCACCTCTTAACTGAGCAACATTTGATTAGAAGAGGAGTGAAGACTTTTCGGTCCACCCTGGTCACCCGTGTCCTCCTCTGTGGCTGCCAGCTGTACTTGCTGGTCCCAGGTACCTATCGCATTCCTTCACATAGCAGCGCAACTTCCCATGTGAGAGCAAAAGAGGCTGTATTTCTCATTTTTACTGTAACTGGTTTGGTGCCAGTTGGTAGAATGGGGGATCCGTCCAGACAGGTTGAGAGCATTTTAGACAAAAAAAAAAAAAAAAGTCAAAGAACTAAAGACAGATCAGATTATTTTAAAGATGTAAACAGTTTGTGTAAAGATGTTACTGGAATCATTGCACAGTTTTTCTTCTTGTTTTTCTAATATCAGTGACTATAAATGTTTTTATACCTTTATTTATTGTTTACTCTGTTTTTTTTTCCTTTGATTTGAATGTTCTCTCTGCGTGCCTTTTTTTTTCTAGCATGACCTTTAGCAGGAAAGAAGAGACAGAGGTCTGAATTCCTGCAGGCATCATCATCATCATCCAGTAGCTTGGCATATTTTGGTAGATTTTGAACAGTCACTGAATTTTGGCATTAAAATTCAGTTTGTGTGCAGGAAGTGGTGGGTTTGGCTCTGTGGCAGCAAAAGTATCTGTATCAAACGTATTTTTGATTTAAAGCATTAACTTGAATCACTCACAACTTAACATCCACATGTTGAAAACAGCTAATCTAGATTTCCATTAATAAAACAAAATTTGAGAAATTCATACACTACACAGGTTTAAGTCAAGGTGGCTTTTTCTGTCTAGTTTATCCTGACTATCAGTAAAATGATCTATAGATGTTTTATTTTAATCTTGCTGCACTTTGATGCCATTCCGTAGATTAACATGGTTGGTGTGCTGATTTCAACTTGGGTGTTTCCTTAAGCTCTCTGGTCTTTCTGGATAAGGTGTGTATGTCTGTCTATGAGAGTGTGAACAGAGCAGCTGAGTGACTACATCTGTAGTGAATGAAGTGCTGTATTAGTTTTGCAGTGGTCATGCTGCTTCTTTTTTCACCTTTCCATTTTTTAAAGCTCCTTCTTAAAGCTTAAAGTTGATAAGTGCTATTCTTGCTGTCTGCAGATCCAAACCTTCTCCATTGAAATGCCTTTTTCAATCTTTTTTTGTTTTGCTTTAATTTTTTTTTCAAAGTTGTGCCTAATCACCATCCAGCTCAGAGACCAAGGGAGCTGAACGTTCTTGCAGCTCCCAAAAAAATGACAGGGTTGAACAGAGATGGACCGTGTCCCCATATGTTAATTGTTACCTTCAGTTTAGACTCTGGGCAGCTGTGTCCTCTCTGTTATATCATCCAGAGTGTTGATGGAACGTTGTTCTTTTTTTAGGTTTATGATGGAATATGTTGTACACACAGAACTCCTGATTGGTTTTCACTGTTTTTTTTTCCTTTTTTTTTTTTTTTGCTCTATAAAGAAAACTATGGACAGTTTCTTATTCATAATAAAGTGTGCAAGGTTTCTACTCTGCTGTCTATTTCTGTCTCAGAACCATCTTCGCAGTGAAAGCTGCGTCTGTAACGTAACTTAAGTTTTAAAGGAGTGATGTGAGGACATTAGGCAGGCAGGTGGTGAGTATGCATACAAGTGTATTTCTTTGTATTGCACACATGTACTAATTCCCCAAATATTCATATGAACTATAAAGTGTTCTGCATGTGAGAAAGTTAAACATCGGATCCAGTAGAGAAGAACACGAAGTTTTTGCTTTGAATAATTAGATTTGAGATTGCTTTAAAATTCTTACAAATACACTTTCCTGACAAAAAAAAAAAAATGCTACCCAAATTTATTTAGCAAAAAAGTATGAGCCTCCTACTTGATAATTGGGCGAATACATTTCAACTGGTAAAAGGGTATTTAACCACAAATGGTGCAATATTTTCCTCGCTTTTCTTAAACAAGCATGTCAACATATAAAACCAAAGGTCATGGAAAAGATATTAGTCTGTTTCAGAAGGGTCAAACTACTGACATGCATCAAGCAGTTAGGCGGGGGTCTCAAGCTTTATACATCTAGGACTGCAATCCTGCAACTTTTAGATTCATCTCTATGGAAGTAAAACATTATCTTTAGAATCAGACATTTATTAGACATTAAATTGATAACACTGAATTTTTAACCTGTGCAATTATGTTTACATTTTTTTTACTTCACCAGTAAAAATTTGCCTCTAAGAATTCCACTGCAGAAATTCACATATTAGAAAAATCAGCTGCAAAAATTCGACAGCAGAAATGCATCTAAAAAAATTAAACGCACTAATTTGGCTTTAAAAATTCACCAGGTAAAATTCGGATGCAAAAACTCGGATGATAAAATGTGTTTACATTTTGATGACAAAACAAATCAATCGAGATAGTCAAGCAGCTTTTAGCCAATCAAATTATTTTGGTCATGTGACACGGCAGTATTAAGTTTGTACTAGCTGTTATAATAATGTACTAGATGATATCATTTGGCAAGAGCGTTATTTTTTTTTCCTTTACTTTTTTGGTGCCTCGTTTCCAAATATAGCTGTGGGAATAGATGTTCCAGGACTAGATGATAGCTTGCCATAATGTTCTTCTTGATGCTTGCATATCAAACTTTATTGAAAATTATTTAGGGAGTAAAATTGTATAAAACAGACACAGAGGTAAGAAAGAAAGAGGGCATAAGAACTAAGGGTAGAAAGAGATACAGAGACAGGAATGAGTGCTTGAAAAGAGAAAATAAAACAGCAAAAATGGGAAATAGTAGCTTCAGAAGCAGTGGATATCCTTTAAATTTATATTGCTTTAGATTTAGGGTGGTAAATAACTGTAGCTGCATTTCAGTATTTAATATTAGTGTGTAGCATTGAACACCTTGAACCAAACTCCCGTTGAGAGATGCATCTGCTTCAGCATTGCTGAATCAAATGATTGCATTTAGCTGCCTCGAAAGGTTGGAGAGTTCTGTTAACTTTTTATTAGTATATTAGGGTTACACTTTTTAGGTATACATTGTTTTACTGTATAATTGAATTATTCTCAAATCTTAATGTTAAACTACGGGTTTGAAGTAAGCTTTTTCTTTACAGTTAAATAAACATTATGACACAAAGATGTCAGAAGTTGGTTTCTTCCTGAAAATGGAAAGGAATCATAAAGAGCTACCAGTTGCATCAATGTTTATTATCAATCAAACTATATAACCATGGATCTACTGAACTGAACAGAACTTTCTCTCTTGGATGGAATAAATAAACCTTTGAGACATAGCCCCAGAATGATCTGCTCCCAGTTATATACCATTTTGGTTTGCTTATTAATAAACAGTATAATGTAAGTAACATGATAAAATATGAAAGTCTCCATATTTGCTTATATTTACTACAACTGACCTTAGATGACCCATATCGTGGGTATTGTTTGGTCTTACCATGATCCTGTGTGTTATAAGTGGGTATGCAGACACTATGAGTAAATTTTTGGGTCTGTTTTCATAACTTTCTCTCAGTGAAAGTCTCTGGCTACCTGACAGATCAGTGTAAAATTCTTCACGCCAACAGACCAGACATTTCACAGTTTTTACAGCACATAGGTACATCTCATCATTTCAAGTCTTACACCATCAAGAGCTTCTCAAAATGTAAAAAGTTGGTTCGTACAAAACTCAAAATTAGCAATTAAATTTGGAATTGAAAGGAACAGAATACATGATTATAAAATATTTATTGTGTCTTCAAAAGAATGGAAGCAGAGTAAAACATGCATACATGAACAGAATAAATACTCCAGGTCATAAAGCTCATAAAACGTGTTTTAGCATGAGACTTCAATGTGTGTGCATTAATGACTATTGATTGATATAATCTATGAGTCATGACCTCCTCCACTGCAGGATTTTCTATATACAGAGAAGGTCATCAGACTGAACTATGCAGGCTTTCTCTGGATGCAGGGTATTGAAACAGTGTCTTAGTGAAGATGTTTTAGTTAATTACCCTTCAATAAAACAATGATACTGCCAGACTTCATAATATATATTCTAATCAGAATCTGAGACTTTCACTCACTAGATCCAGTCACTGAAACAATCTCAAAGCTAAATGTATAGATTTATTTATATCTATTAATACAAATATGTTCAATAAATTATTTTTTAAAAGTTGATTAATAGTAATTTCAGCAGTACTAATTGGTACTATTAGTATTATTTCAGCAACTCATTTGATTAAACTAAACACATTGTTTAAGAATAGTTAGACACAAACATTATTAGAATCTAATATTATCTGTATTGAAAAAATTATTCTAGATCACGGCCTGGCCCAACATTTACCAAACGGATAATACATTTTAAACTGATTACAGACATAAACAGCTACATTAAAAATAAGCAATAAGAAGTTAAGTCAATAATAACATTCCAAGTCTATTCAGATGTGAATGTTATATAATTTTGCCATTATTATTCGCTCACACAACCAATCACATCAGTGACAACAAATGTATAAAAACAAGCACCTGGACTTGCCTCTACAAACATTTATGAAGGAATGGATTACACTGAGGAACTAGAAGAATTTCAATATCAAGAAATTCACATATGTGATCCACTCATGCACACCAGATATACACATGCATACCAGATCCACACATGTACACCAGACCCAGACATTCACACTAGATCCATACATGCACACCAGATATACACACATGCACACCAGATACACACATGCACACCAGATCCACACATGCACACTAGATCCACAAATAAACACTAGATCCACACATGCACACCAGATATACACACATGCACACCAGATACACACATGCACAACAGATCCACATATGCACACCAGACCCAGACATGCAGACCAGATACACACATGCACAACAGATCCACATATGCACACCAGATCCACACATGCACACCAGATTCACACATGCACACCAGATCCACACATGCACACCAGATCCACACATGCACACCAGATACACACATGCACACTAGATCCACACATGCACACCAGTTACACACATGCACACTAGATCCACACATGCACACCGGATACATACATGCACACTAGATACACACATGCACACTAGATACACACATGCACAACAGATCCACATATGCACACCAGATCCAAAAATGCACACTAGATCCACACATTCACACCAGATCCACACATGCACACCAGATACATACATGCACACAGATACAGACATGCACACTAGATCCACACATTCACACCAGATCCACAAATGCACACTAGATCCACACATTCACACCAGATCCACACATGCACAGTAGATCCACACATGCACACTAGATCCACACTAAATCCACACATGAACACCAGATCCACAGATGCACAACCGATCCACATATGCACACCAGACGCAGACCTGCACACTAGATCCACACATTCACACTAGATCCACACATTCACACCAGATCCACACATCCACACTAGATCCACATATGCACATAATAATTTTAACAAGTATATGAAATTTACATTTTCACAAGACAAGATTCATGAAAAAATTGTGATGCATAGACAATTATAACTTGATTTTCGAACTACCAGTTGTCTTTGAACTGCTGCCTGCGCCTGCAGTAGAGTGAGAGGACACACTGGGGAATGCCTGGCGCTTAGGCTCGGGTGGCTGGCATTTTTTAGTTGGCCTAGGGGGGTGGACTGCTCAGGCTGCATTTGTTGATAGATTCCTGATAGAATCAGGGCACCACCAAAAAGACTGGACTTCTGAATTTTTTGTTGTTGTTTTGTTTTGTAGTAACAATGAGTTTTATGGACTATTATGTGTAGCATACATCTGAAGAGGGATGGGTGTAGTGTCTGAATGGTACTATATTTTTCTGCAGATTGCTCCCCTCTGTTTTGTCATGTTATGCCTGCAAATTGTATATGCGTGTCTATGTTAAAGAGAGGGATACAAAAAAGTAAACACAAGTGCAATCTATTCCAGACTCTGAGTGGTTACTTCCTGCAATGTTGTGGTAAAGTCACAACAGTCAGCTGGAATGGGAAATAGTGCCCCCTCTCATTTGTGGAGCACAAAGGTGCCATTTCCAAATATGGTATGAGTCTGCAATGTGGTCAGTCTCCGCCCCTTTCTGTTGCTGTGACATCCTACCCTATAAGAAAATCAATGACCACCTAGTGTATGCTCTTGTGATTGGCTCAAGCTAAAGAGCTAATTATTTATCTAATTAGTAGCAAATCATATCTTGTTAAAAAAAGCATTTGTGTATGGAGTCACATCAGGTGAGTGTCAACAATCCATGCACACATCCAGTAAAGTTCAAAGACAAATGACAGTTTGAGACTTAAGATAAAACTGTTTATGAATCACAAATAGTTATGTGAATCTTGTTTTGTGAATATATACATTTTATGTGCTGAATTTAATCATCAGGTGCGTTCAAGATTAGGTCGACCCACGCAGATCGGATCGGTGTTGGACTGAGTGAGGTGCACGTCAGTTAGATTTCTGTCCAACTTGCTCCCATCTGATGTCTGAAGCTCATGAGCGACTGAAACCTCTAGAGATCAGAAAGAGACCAGCCATTTGAGGCAGCCGCCATAGATGATCTAAAGCAACTGTGTTTGCTGCAATGCAAGATGGGAAAAACCTCTCCTGTCACCAGGGAATGGACAGGTAATTGGATCTAAGTATTGTAAATAAATAAGCCCCTACATGTCCTCCTCACCCCTTTATTTTTTTCAAAATATAAATAAATACAAGCTTGAACTATTAATCTGTGGCATATTTATTCAAATTATTTGTTCTTAATTGGTTGACAGAATTTTTAGATGGAGGCTATTTGTTATAAGTATATAGATGTTATATAAATAAGATGCAAAATAATACTCAAAATAAATATATATGCAGTATTAGGCTATGCTTGGCTGATTGTTTAATTCTTTTGTGTTGTAACATGAAGCCTTATTAACAGGTTAATTTCTGACTGGGGGCACGCTTATAACAATTATTAATTGGATAAATTATATGATATACGGTATAATTTTATCTTTTTAAATTTCTTTTCTGTTCTACAATGTATTGTGGTTGTAAATGGTTTGTTTTTTTGTGGATCTTAAGTCTGAAATTGAATAAAATCAGTCAATCAATACAAGTTAATATTAATGGACATAACAGAACTAACTGTAAGACTCTTCATCAATTCAGTACGTTACTCCAAAGGAAAGTTTATTTTAGGTCTTTTATTATGTTAGTTTTCATCAATAACATGAACACAATGCCGTTTAGTTGCAGACAGCTCTGTCTGTCTTCACAATAAACTTTTAACCTCACCCATCAACATAGCAGTAAACTCTCGTCCACATTCCAGGCGAGGCGCTTTTTTAACTCAAACGTACCTATTATGTGCATGTCTGGATGTTGTCCTGTGCACATGATTATCACATGTGACTTTGTTGAAATTGAGACTCTTATAGATCCATTTTACTCTGAAGAGCAGCCCATGGAATATGTGCAATATATCCAGTCCATAAAAAAAGATGTAAAAAATAAAATCAGTATGACATCTGCACAACCTAATCAATCTGATGTACTGTCAACAGCCGTGGTCTCAAACTGACGTTCTCTCGAGTGTCAAAAAGCGTTTGGATGGGTCTCCACTTTAATATATTTCTTCATAATGAGGCAGAGCCCTCCAGCCTTCTGGTAGTGAGATAATTTAGCCTAGCCATTTGATTCAGGTTTGTAGGGCAAAGGACACTTCTAAAGGTTGCAGGATTCCAGTCCTCAATGGGTCTTAAATTTAAGACCACTGGCCTATCAATTAGAATATGTGTAGAAATCATAACAATATGACTTCACTGGTTCATCACTGGTGACGTGATTCTGATGAAACAAATGAAGAACACAGTTTCTTTGTCAGTCAGTCAAGTATTGATGATTGTCTAAAATTAGAACGCACAAAAACTGAAATAAAGACTAGTTTACTTAATCTTTTAATTTGAGCATTTAATACTTATCATTGTATTCTTTCCAAATAAAAAACAACATAAATATGTTGCCTGAAAGTTTGTGAAGAATCAAAATAAATACAAAAAGTATCCAAATATAAACCTGTATTTATAAAACTGTAGCTCCTCTCAGTAACTCCCCTAAAATCATATTAAACTTAAATTGGGAACAAAATACAGAACAAAAGATATAGTCAGACTGACTTCATTAATTTTATTTGTTTCATAAAGGCACCTGAGCTTGTTTGATGAACTGCAATAGCTCAGTGTGAAAAACGGCAGATACCAGGCTGTTCTCTACATCCAGGATGTTCCTCTGCTTGGTTTTGATGAGTGTCACAGCTGAAACTTAACTCAAAGAAAAACATCCTTTTCTTGTTTAATTTTTCAATTGGGTTCTACCCTATTTTATTTTACTACCTAAGAAAATACTTTCATGTACCCATCGCAATACCCCCACAGACCACTAGGGGTAGCATACCCTCGTTTGGGAAACATGCCTGTACGTAAATAGAACTTTTTCAAGTCAGGGGACTCCACAGTACTTTAGTTTTCCATTGTTTGGAAAGGTAAATGTTAAAATGTGAAAAATGAATATAATATAATGTCTTTGATAATTAAGGTCTTAGTATCACACTAAATCACACTTGGATACTGTAGCATCAAACAGATTGCCTAACCCTGGTTCTGTGGACACTTCTCACTTGTTTTTCCCTCTAAAACATGTAAGGGGACACGAACAGGGTGACCTTGGTAAGATAGCGGCCTAGCAGGGTGTTGCGCTCCAGCTCACTCATTTCTACCTCCGCCTCCAACGTGGCCGGGCCTTTGATAGGTGTTACCAGGAGAAGGGTCCCGGTCTGCCGACCGGAGCGCTGCACGCTGAAGTGACCTTGGCCGTGGCCACCACCTAGGCCAAATCGCAGAGTATCTCCTAGCACACGGGCTGCAGACACCCTGAAGAGGACGCGAGGGGCAGACATGTTTGAAACCACAGCGAGAAAGTGAAAGGAGATGGAGTTTGGAGCTTGGTTGCACGTCCGGTCCCCGAACATACATGGGTTCCTCTCACAGCGCCTGAAAAAAAACATCATCACATCATTAGTCTTCTTTCTGCCCATATTATTATTTCTTAACTGAAATTAACTGGAGTTTTTTGTGCAAGCAAAATAAAACGAATCTCATAAGATTGAAAGAGTATGCAAACAGACAGGTTTAGCATTAGAACAGTCAAATTCAATTCAACAGAAATGTTCTTTGCAAGCAGTTGCATTATCACAAGGTGAAGCTTCTAAGTGCTAAACGTTTACATACTGCCTGGGCAAAATCTTGTTGGTTCACTTAGCCAGCATGCAAGTATTTTTCAGGACCCCTCCACTTTGCACATTGGAGTTTGATTTGATGATGCCGTCACACACCTAATTCACACAAACTCAATGTCTATTGGACAAGGGAGATTGCACTGTGGATTGTGTTCTTGATTTTTCCAGTGCATCTAACACAATTAAATTAAATTCTGTTTATTTCTATAGCACCAATCCACAACACATGTCATCTCAGGGCACTTTACAGTTCACCAGACCATACAATCAAATTGATTAAAAGTTTTCTATCTAAGGAAAACAAGTTGATTGCATGGACTCATTGACTGGAATGCAATACCTCACACCAGGCATGCTTGTACCGACAGTGGAGAGTAAAAACTCCCTTTTAACAGGAAGAAACCTCCAGCAGAACCAGGCTCAGTGTGAGCGGCCATCTGCTGAGGCCGACTGGGGTTCAAGGAGACAGAAGCAGAGATACAAAAAGCAGCTGTAAAAGGCGACCCCGTCCAGGAAACACACAGCCAGGCAGACAAGCTCTAAGCCAACTCCATGTCAGAGGATGAAGAGAGTACATCCAGCCAGTCACAGTCAGAGAAACAGGACTACACTGAAAAACAAGGCGATATCCAACATCTATAAACAAGGGTTGTGATGGCAGCAGCAATTCAGTCTGATTTTGTCAAAAACGGAAAGAGACTCGGGTGGAAACATCATCCAAGACTACCTTACATACACATCCCAGTTTGAGAGACTGAAGGGTCAGTTGCTAATCAGGTAGTCAATAAAAAGGAGCAACACGGGCTGCAGTACTCTCACCATCCATTTTTACTCTGTACACCTCAAATTTCACTACAAGACAGAATTGTGCCCTTTGCAGAAATACTCGGATGACTCTGTAGGCGTTGGGTGCGTTTTTTTTGTACCTCAACAAGAAAATATGTTAAATATATAAGTATTCACTTTATAAAAAGTTAATGTTTTCAAAGTAATTACTTTTAAAAGTGATTATTTTATCTTAAAAAAAAAATCACTTTCAAAAGATAAAGTACAAATATGAGTGCTGAAACTGGTAAAGCCAGACGTTGGATTACAATGATGGACCATTCTACACTGTAGAATGTTTGATCATTCTGCGGCCCATTGACCAGATTAAGGTTGGTAATCTTACACACATTTTTTTTAGGAAACAAAGATGGACAAAATACAACCTTACACAAAGTCTTGCTGATCCACATTAGGCTTGAGCTCTCTTGTATCTTGATGCGGGAGCCAATATGTTCTATATCATCTGAATATACCAGAACAAGTTTCTTTTTTCCGCTGCTTACAATGAAAGTATAAACGACCCCAGCACTGATAATCTTTTTATTTCTCCTGCCTTTAATAGATTAAAAATGTTAATGTTTAATTAAAATTTTTATTGATTCATATAGTTGACTACTGCGTGCATGCTTTTGCCACATATGAAACTACCTAGGGAATTTTAAAGAAAGAGATGAAAGTAGGAATTATAATAACAGCTCCTTTGTCCTTCCAGAGGGTAAGATGTGGTAAAATGTGCTTGTGTTGTGATTAAACTGTAGAAATAAATCAAACTTTGAAAGTGTAAACATCCTTTCTGCAGTACATGTTTGGCCAAACCTCAGTCTATGTCTAGTATGGGTTGGAGAGTAGCAAAATGAAGGGTGTAGAGGGGAAGTGGCGGACATGCAGATTGGGCTCATTGTTTTCAAAATGACTGTCTTCTGAGTTAAGAGGCTTGAGGTTTTCTTTGTCTATTTCTAATCCCTCATTTGAATTCCTTTTTCTGCTGATGGTTGTCTCTTTGTTTTCCTTCAGATATTTTTTTATCTAAAGGCATGTTGTTAACTTCTCATTAGAAGTCAAGCCTTGTCTTGCACATAATGGTGTATAATATATACTACCAAATTATGTGGGTATAGAACATTCATAAACAGAAAAAGGCTTAATGTTGGCTTAAAGTTGCTCCCCTTTTGACTATTTAAATATATTATTAAAAAATATTCCTATGAGTAGTTTTACCATGCCGTAAATTGTTCTCCAACTTGAGAAAGGTTCTGTGGTTTTACTAGGCATATCTCAGTTGGATACATCTTACCTTATTTATATTAACTCATTCTTTATTTTATCCATTTGACTCAACTTTTCACATAACTTCAAGATATTTGTTTGTCCTATTGTATGATATTGGGGAAATTGAGTCAGCTGTTATGATTACACAAGTACTGTGTTATTCCTATTGGGAAATTCTTTTACTTTCAATTACTCCACCAAACTTTAATTATTACAGTCATGGAATTATTATCCGTATTAGTCCAACATTGTTTTTTGTTCAAAATGTATAATACCCCAAAGAATACAATAAAAACAAGGAAATAGAAAACAATAGCGATCAAATATTTTTTCTATGACTGTGATTTAGCACAAAAGCTAAAACATACATGTTGGAGCCTGTCTTGTTCAGTGGAAATAACATAAAGTAAACACATATAAAGTAGTTTAAGGGAAAGTAGATGACTGTAAGTTGTATGGTATGTAAGTAGGCTCTTACATTGGAGACGTCTTGACGTAACTGGCATTTTTCGTCTTTGGACATTCCACTGTCACGCACTGGAAACCCCCAAAGGTGTTAACGCACAGTTGGTCAGCTGTACAGTTGTGTGAATGGTTTTCACATTCATCAATATCTGAAAGTGAGAGCCCAGAGAAGAGACAGACAGCCATGTTTTTCAGTCATAAAATCACTGGTTCCCAGGCAGGACACTTAGTCCCAACGTTCTATTTGTTTCAGATATATACCCAACTCCAGTCCTTGAGGGCCGCTATTTTTCAACTTTTTGATGCATCTGTTCTCTGACACACCAGAATCGAGTAGTGGCCACTGACTGAGACCTTTGCAGAGCTGAACAACATGCAGATGTTTTGACTGCTGTATTTTATATAGCTTCTATAAGTTGCAGTATAGTAATTCTCAAGCAGTTGCAATTTATACCCCTAATAGCTGGTGAAGATTCTAAGTGATCTAGGTCATACCGGTAGTCATTTAAAAAAAAGCTAGAAAAGAAACCACTGGACTTTGTTTTCCAAGTTTGAAGACATTTCGCTTCCCATCCAGAAAGCTTTCTCAATCCAGATTGTCTGGGGTAGCGGTGAGTTCCAGGCTTTATAGAGTAGCCCAGCAAAAGCCTTGTTATGGCTTAGCATGTTTTCTAAAACAAAGTCCAATGGTTTGTTATGAACTTTTTTTTTGTATACTCCTAATCAAGGGCCGAATTCCCCTTAGGTGATCCCACCTTCAATAACCCCTTAATGTTTGACATTGGGTTTAGCTTCCAACATGCAAGATCGTGTACCACAAAGACAAATATATGATTCTTCTGCCAGCATATTTTATGTCTATGAAGTCTTACCTGTGCAGCTGCGCCCATCTCTGGCCAAGCTGTAGCCGCTAGGGCAAACACAGTGAAAACTTCCAGGTGTGTTTATGCACTGATGAATGCAGAGACGACCAGGTTGTGCGAGGGGAAAGAGATGACACTCATCGATATCTGAAACAAAAAGATGGATAGCAGCCTGTATAAGGACATTCATCAGAGTATGAGATTGATTCCATTTGAGGGATTTTCAAGGAGAAAATCTACCTGTGCAGATGTTATTGTCGCGGCCTGATATGGTGAAACCAACATCACAGGTACAGTGAGTTGAGCCCAGGAAATGTGTGCAATTAGAAGGTCTTATAGAGGAAGAGGGAGAGGAGGATGTTGGGGAGGAGGCCAGAAAAGGGGAGGATGTCGAAGAGGAGGCAGATAAGGCAGCAGAGGTAGCAAAGGAGGACACGGCTGAAGAGAAGGAAGCCAGGGAGTTGGTGGTTCTGTTGAGTTCTAGAAGAGATAAATGGAAGAAAACTAACACAAAACTGATCCAGTCTATAAGTTTTCCTTTCATCTTGTGTGTGTGATTTACCTCTGCACATAGGCTGTTGGCCACTCCACTTCAGAGTCTCTAGACACACTCGAGTTCGGGGGCCTATCAGCTCATAACCGGGTCTGCATAGGAAGTGGACCTCATGTCCCACACCGAACACTCTGCCCAGCCTACGGCCGTTTGATGGGGGGTCAGGCTTAGGACAAGATGCTTAAAACAAACAGGTTGAAATTGGTTTACATAAGCTTGGACAACAATGCATATGTTCTATTTTCTCCATATAAACCTGCTGCCAAGGTTAACATTTTTAATTTTTTAAATTGCTGCTATGTAGCATCACTCTGGTATTCACAGACTTCTTATTCATACATCTTTTGAATAGGTGCTCCTTGTGAACAGCAAGGCGCAAAAAATGCCAAAGCCACAAATCTTAAAGGGTGCCTGCCTGCTGTCAATGTGTCTTATGTAAACCATTGAAAGTGGGTTTGTCAAAAATAAAGAGTGGTTATCCAAATCAAATCCATAAAAAATAAAATAAAAAAACACACACAGAAAGAAGCTGACTGTATTTCAGACCAGGATAAGAAATGCAGATAATGCAGAAGATGATTTAGTTCAGAGGGTAGTTTAACTGCTTGGTAAGAGGCTGCACGTTGATGAGGAAATCTTCCCTTATTTGTGAAATGTGAAAAAGCTGAAAGCTATACAAGAAAAAAAAAATCAGAAGCTGTACTCTGTAAAAAATCAAAATCTTGATAAATAATTTTTTTCTTAAAATAAGTGTATTTGTTCTTGGATTGTGGAGGTAAAAGAGACACTTTGCCAACGGAACAAGATAATTTTTATTTAAGATAAGAAACAATTGCATTGTCTTATTTCAAATGCATTTTATCTAATTATCTTATTTTAAGAGTAAAAATACTAATTCCATTGGCAAACTATTTCCTTTACCTATTCAAATTAAGGTTAAATACACTTAATTTAGGAAGTTGTGACTTATTTCTAGATTGTTTTTGCAATGTACTTGAGAAAATACATATTAGAAAAGACAAAAAAAAAAAGAAGTTTTTTTTCATAGCGACACAGTTTCATTTGATTGCACTGATTATTTGTTAGAGCCAAATTAAATAACCAAAAAAGGTTCAACCTCCCTACTCTGGAATAGCCTGATCAGTCTTGAATCATAATAAAAATGTACAAACTGGTGGAGGAAAAATTTTTTTTTTTTACATCGCCTAGGTGATTTGTGTTAAAGAAATCAACAAATAATGCCAATGGTCCCTTGCTCCTCTGCAGCAGGAAGCATCTCCCCTCACCATTTTTACCCATTTTAAAGATGGCCATGGTGCTGTTGTGCAGCGCACTAATCTTCTTCCTCAGGGAACGTACACCTTGCTGGTATGATGTCTCATGTACGGCTAACATCTTCTCTACTTGGCGCAGTGAGTTCAGCAGATCATGAGTGGATGGACACTCCTATAGCAAGATAAAAACACTTCAGATCAGAAATTATACAGCTCTTTCGCTAATAAGCAAAATAGCTACAGGAAAACCATTGTCATTCATTTCTATCTATTCTAAATGGCATGTACTTCACACAGCATTCAGGCATTCACACACACACTGATGGTGGTAACCCAACAGAGATGGGAAATGTGGAATCATTAAGTCATCTCAATACCCTGTATTTGTTCTGCCCGGCCAGCACAATTTAGATGGGTTGTAGGTTTTATAAATATAATAACCAATTCACTTAATCTTAAATCTTTTTTAATGATACTGCCACCTGTGGCCAAAACGCAGAACGGCAGTGCTCTTCTGTTCGTTCTTTTAGTGAACACTCTAACTTCATCCATCAATTTTCAGACACGCTTAATCCCAAGTGGGGTTGTGAGAGGTGCTGGTGTCTATTTCCAGCTGTCTACAGGCGAGAGGTGGGGTACACCCTGGACAGGTTGCCAGTCCATCGCAGAGCAATACAGAGACAAACAGGACAAACAGCCATTCACGCACACACTCACACTTAAGGAGAATTTAGAGAAGCCAATTACCTTAACAGTCATGTTTTTGGGCTGTGGGAGGAAACTGGAGTACCCTGATAAAACCCACCCATGCTCAAGGAGAACATGCAAAGACCCCGGGCAGGGGTCTTACATGGAGTTGCCATTGGTGTCTGGGTTGAGTTGGATGCCAATAGCTCCCGAGTATCCGCAAAATGCATCTTATATATAATGCTTCAATTGTCTGCTAGATTGAAACTATTATACATGAACGCACTTGATTTCCACATCTGTGTCACACATTTGTGTGACGATTTTTTCTATAATGTTATTGCTGTTGTAACACCAGAATCCCCCCATTATGGGGCAAAAAAGGGATCTTCTTTTCTATTCTATTCTATTCTATTCTATTATATTCTATTCTATTCTATTCTATTCTATTCTATTCTATTCTATTCTATTCTATTCTATTCTATCTGCAGACAGCTGAGGAACTTCCTAACCAAAACAAATTCAGGGAAAATCGGCTACAGGCTTTGATAGATGCATCGGCTCTGAAATACTGATTTACTGATTTACTGATACTGAAAGATTTTTTTTCATGAAAAACTTATGAAAATTCTTAAAAGTAGATTTTTAAAGTTTTGAAAAAGTCCATCTTTACTCAAGCACCCCTTTTTCTAAAACATCAAATCTTAATCAAGAATATCATAATTCAAGTTCTAAAAACATACATATACAGGAAAAAAAAAAGTGTCTCAGACTGCTGGTTTTCATCTCCAACATGATTTATGTATGAGGTTGTTACATAAAGGTGGGGTTTTCCGGGCTGCAGTAACACCTGGGTGTAAATTTTAGCAGACCTCATCCTGACAGCTGAAACACAGCTGCTCTGCTATGAACTTCTGGGTCTGATGTTTTTTCCTGAAATGTATCTCTGCTCTGGTTCGGCCACTTAGAATTATTAAGAGAAAAGCCACGCTGTGCTTGATAGTCTATTATTTTTAATTATTTCCTGCTACGTTCAGGTTAACTTAGTTAAATGTGAATAAGAATGAAGCTTGTCAATATGAATATGTTTTACTCTTGGTTTATGTTATATTGTGTAGGTAAAAATGTTGTCATAAAATATTCTGAGCCCAAAATGAATTCCATTGCACTTTTCTTATAATACTAGACCTGTCCAAGAACTTTACAATAGAGACCAATTCCCAATCGCACTCAGATTCATACACTGATGCACACTCTTTATAGATATATGAAGCCAGACCCGAACGCTTAGTTTACAACTTTACTTCTCTCTCCACTGATCCACAATTTGTGTCCTTGATAGAAAGAGAAATGCCAGACCTTTGTCATAAAAACCAACACTTTGCTATTTGCAAACATTTTTGAAAAAAAAAAGGAAAAGAAAACATCAGAATGCATGAATCCATTTGGCTTCAGTTCAATTTATGCAGAAATAGGAATGAATTCTTTTTGCAAAAGGTTTTAGCATGTAAGTGACCATAAGGGCATTTTGTTAATTTTGCCTCCTATAAGTTTTAACATGGTTAAATATCTCTCAAGAAGATTAAATATAAATTCAAAAATGAAGATGTCTGTATGAAAGTCTTAGTTACTTACCTGAGTGGAAACTAGCGCAAACTGATGAAGAGTCATCATTAACACAATAACCCTAATAGCTTTCATATTTAGCATAAATTCCATTATAATCATAAACCAGGTTCTGATAAACTCAGTGAGAGGAAGATCAGCTTGTATGTCCAGCTCCTACTGGGCTTCTCCCAAACTTCCAATCTTTGTTCTAGCTATAATGTCAAATATCTCCTCCCTGGACTGAAAACCCTCCTCTACATCCACCCACCTCGCTGTCACACATTTTAAAGCTGATAGAAGAAAAAGGACAGAGGCGCCCACATCTGGAACATGCTTGACTACTGTTTCAGATCCATTATTGTCCCAACATTTAGACTCCTAAATTAGAAGGAAAAGTCAGCTGCTTGTAGCGCTCTTTAACTATTGCCATCCAGACAAAGCAATTAGATTTAGCTGACTATTTCAGTTTCCTTTTCCAGCTCAGGAATTTGTGTGGCACTCTAATCACAGCAGCTATAAAGCTTTGCTTTGATTCTGAAATCTGCTGCCCAGTAATGTAACTATATATAGTAATAGCCTCCTAATGACAGGCCAGAAACTGTAAAGTCTCAGGCAGAGGTTACTCCCCCTGCAACCCAACTCAATCCCCCAATGGGTGCAATTTATGCTGATGTTAGGATGCAGTCCCAGAAATGTAGATCAACAGATCTATTACAGACAAAAATACATTGCTATTGAGAAATCCAACAATATCCACAGAAGGCTGAAGTAAAGAGCACTGGCTAAGTGGCACAAAAGAACAGAAACCAACTAAATGCAGGCCCTGAAACACTGCAGCATGCACCGAAATATCATAAAGGATAAAAGTGTTTTCAATTCTTTCACATTTACCGGACATGCAAAGGAATTGAAATTAAGTGCAAATTTCTGTCAGTCTACATGGTGCTCACAAGACATTTCTTACATTTAGTTAATCAAGACAAAAACAGACAGATATTGAACATTCACACATGGTAATAGTAACAGAGTAAAAACACAGTGTATCCATTGCCAGTGCAAAGATAGGCACATACTGGCAGTGAGGTATTCCTTGTATAACTATTGTGCAAGTGGCATAGTAGTAGATATGTGGTACACAGTGTAGCAGCATGATAATAGTGCAAGTAGTCTTTTTTTATTGGGGTCATCTAATAGGCTGTAGCAGCATCAGTGTGGCTAAAACAGGACACAGAAAATCTGTGCTGCAACAAACAGAAAAAGTATGAAAGGGATGTTAGATGAACATGGAATCTGAACCGGGTTTAGACTGCTTTGATCCAGTTGAACTCTCTGAATTAGCAAAATTATTGTCTTCATCTAAGCCTTCAACTTGTATGTTAGATCCAGTTCCAACCAGGTTATTTAAGGAGGTATTCCCTTTGATCTCCTCCTCCATTTTAGATGTGATTAATCTATCTCTGTTACAGGGATATGTACCTAAAGCTTTTAAGATTGCTGTAATTAAACCTCTGCTTAAGAAACCGTCTCTTGACCCAGATGACTTGGTCAATTATAGACCTATATCCAATCTTCCTTTCTTATCCAAAATTCTTGAGAAAGTAGTTGCCAAACAAGTTTGCGATCACTTCCACCATAATGAACTTTTTGAAGAGTTTCAGTCTGGCTTTAGAGCTCATCATAGCACTGAAACAGCTCTGGTGAAAGTCACTAATGATATTCTCATGGCCTCAGATAATGGACTTGTATCTGTGCTCGTCCTGTTGGATCTTAGTGCTGCATTTGATACAGTTGACCATAATATTCTTTTAGAAAGACTTGAACATTTTGTTGGAATTAAAGGAACAGCACTAGACTGGTTTAAATCTTATCTATCTGATCGAATTCAGTTTGTTCCTGTTAATGATAGATCTTCAACACGCTCAAAGGTTACCTGTGGAGTACCACAGGGATCAGTGCTAGGACCAATTCTCTTTACTTTATACATGCTCCCAATTGGTAGAATTATTAGACAGCATGGGATTAATTTCCACTGTTATGCTGATGATACCCAGCTATATCTGTCTATAAACCCAGATGAAGCTAACCCATTACATAGATTACAGGCATGTCTTGAAGACATAAAAACCTGGATGACTCTTAATTTTCTGCTTCTGAATGCAGACAAAACAGAAGTTATAGTCTTTGGACCAGAGTCTCTGAAAAAGAAACTGATTAGCCAGTCACTTCATTTGGATGGGATTAAACTGATTTCAGATAATAAAGTAAAAAATCTTGGTGTTATTTTTGATCAGGACCTGCCATTTAAATCCCATATCAAAGAGGTTTCTAGAATTTCCTTCTTTCATCTGAGGAACATTGCAAAAATTAGAAATATCCTGTCCAGGGGTGATGCTGAGAAACTAGTCCATGCATTTGTTACTTCAAGGCTGGACTATTGTAATTCTTTACTATCAGGAAGTCCACAAACTGTAGTTAAAAGCCTTCAGCTGATCCAAAATGCTGCAGCCAGAGTTCTAATGAAAATGAAAAAGAGAGATCATATCTCTCCTATCCTGGCTTCTCTTCATTGGCTTCCTGTTAAATCAAGAATAGAATTTAAAATCCTCCTTCTCACATATAAAGCCTTAAATGGCCAAGCTCCATCTTATATCAGAGATCTGATTGTTCCTTATGTTCCTAACAGAGCACTTCGCTCTCAATCTGCAGGTTTACTAGTGGTTCCTAGAATTTCTAAAAGTAGAATGGGAGGCAGATCTTTTAGTTATCAGGCTCCTCTCCTGTGGAACCAACTACCAGTTTTAGTCCGTGAGGCAGACACCCTGTCTACTTTTAAGGCTAGGCTTAAAACTTTCATTTTTGATAAAGCTTATAGTTAGGGTGGCTCAGGTTATCCTGAGCTATCTCTATAGTTATGCTGCTATAGGCTTAGACTTTTGGAGGACATAGGGACCCCCATTTCATCATTCTGCTTCATTCTCTCTCTGTTCTCCTATTCTGCAGAATCTGTTAGTTCAATCTCTAACCTTCTGCTCTCTCTGCTTTTCCTCAGAGTAGCTTTGCCTCGTCTGTTCCTGTTTGGCTGTGACGTCATCCTGGAAAAAAACATCAGCTGTGCTGCTTCTATCAACACCCTTGTTAATAGATGTTGGAGATCGGCCTGTTTTCCAGTGTGGTCCTGTTTCTCTGACCGTGACTGAGTGGATGTGCTCTCTTCGTCCTCTGGCATGGGAGCTGCCTTGGAGCTCGTCTGCCTGGCTGTGTGTTTCCTGGACGGGGCCGCCTTTTACAGCTGCTTTTTGTATCTCTGCTTCTGTCTCCTTGAACCCCAGTCGGCCTCGGCAGATGGCCGCTCACACTGAGCCTGGTTCTGCTGGAGGTTTCTTCCTGTTAAAAGGGAGTTTTTCCTCTCCACTGTCGCTACAAGCATGCTTAGTGTGGGGGATTGTATTTGAGTCAATGAGTCAATGCAATCAACTGGTTTTCCTTAGATAGAAAACTTTGTATCAATTTGACTGTATGATCTGGTTGAACTGTAAAGTGCCTTGAGATGACATGTGTTGTGAATTTGGCGCTATATAAATAAACTGAATTGAAATTGAATTGAACACCCTGCTAGGGGAAGGAGAGACTTAACCCTCACAAAAAACAGAACACAAAGCAGAAGGCAGAAAATTGGTTTTGTGCTTCTAAGAAATTTGTTTTAGAAATAAACAAGTTGGTAAAAAGAATCTTAATCTATGTGATGTTATTTATATATAATTTCATTAATTTATTCATCAGATGTCAATATCAGAAGGCCCTTACAACTTCAACCCCAACACTGCTGCAACTGCCAAAAAAACACAAGAAACGCAAGAACGGACAAAATCAACGGATGTTGTTCTCGTCCCACCCTCTTTATCAAGCACGCATTAAAACAGACTTGTGTGTTCTTTAGACTGACTGCTGTCCCAGCATGCACCCACTGGAGCAGCTGAGTTCCTGGAGAGTGCTCACAGAGATCAGAGTTTTAAATTAAATATTCACTTTTCTGCTGCCCTTGCCCTGCAAAAGCATGATTGGTAGAAGTAAGCACTTTATACTTTTACAAAAATGAGCAGAGATACAAAAGCCAACTGTCAACCAGCTCTGCAGGCGTCTCCGTCCAGGAAACACACAGACAGGCAGACTAGCTCTGAGACAGCTCCCATGTCAGAGGATGAAAGAGAGCACATCTAGTTAGTCACAGTAAGAGAAACAGGACTACATTGAAAAACAGACCAAGCTCCAACATTTATAAATAAAGGTGTTGATGGCAGCAGCACAGCTGATATTTCTCTCCAGGATGGTGTCACAGCCAAATAACACAGAACAGATGAAGCTACTATGATTATGAAAAAAAATAGAGAGAGCACAAAGCTTGATGTTGGAATAATAAATACTGCTGAGTGGGAGACTAGAGATAGAATGACGCAGAGTGATGAAAAGGGGTCCCTATGTCTTTTAGCAGTCTAAGCCTATAGCAGCATAACTATAGAGAAAGCTCAGGATAATCTGAGCCACTCTAACTACACATTTTATCAAAAAGGAACGTTTTAAGCCTACCCTTAAAAATAGACAGGGTGTCTGCCTCATGTACTAAAACTGGTAGTTGGTTCCACAGGAGAGGAGCCTGATAACTAAAAGATCTGCCTCCCATTCTACTTTTAGAAATTCCTTATCTGCTCTTTTCATGACAGTCTGAACGATCCATTTTTTTCCAGTGCAACCCAGGTCACTTGGCTATGTGGTCCTGAATCTGATACGTATACCTGATCTTTTCTAATGCAGTCTGTCTCTGAACATCTATGTCCCATTTATCCGACCCCTTAGCCATTAATACTCAACCAAGGTCACTATTTTGTGACTTCCAACGCAGAAGCGGAAAGAAAAAAAAAAACCATGGGGAAAGATAATGCAGAGAGCAGTCATTATTCTTAACCTTCTTGAAAGGATTGCACTGTTAATGCACTGGCCGAGGTTGGGAAAGAAATGAAAGATTGAAAGATGCACTCCAGCTCGCTTGTGATGTCATACCTCTACTGTGCATGCGGGACACTTAATTTGTGCAAATGCAGTTCACACAGGAGATCACATACAAGTTGCATATATTTGGAAATGTCAACAACCACGCAAAGAATCGGATGAGGTTGTGGAGTTTAGATCTATTTTAGTAGGACTATGCAGCAATTTCATGGGT